ATGTTAATATATGACATAAATTATGATTGATTGATGTATTCAATTGTTTTTGGTCACTTCTTGTTTCACCGGAAATGACTACAACTTTTGATTTTTAAGTAACACCCTCGGCATTTTTTTACTTTATTCGATAATAAATGATATTCTGAATAGAATGACATACCATATGTCAACTTTTGACATTCTCGCTTAATAAAAAATCGTATTCTAAATTTCAATCCAGAGGGCCATGGCTATGTTGAAAACACTAATTCTTAATCAAGGAGCCGTGGAAAAATAGATAGATACCACACACTTGGTATTTCCAGTCAAATTGTCGTTACGAACCGCAAGTTATAATTTCAAATAAACCATATGCGAAAATGTCAAAAGTTGACATATGAGAGTGTTATTTTCTATCGAATAAAGTAAAAAAAGACCGAGGGTGCCATTTAAAATTAATTATATTTTAAGTATATTAATAATATTAAAAAAAAAGCTGAACATATTTTTTTTTAAATTATTATTATGTCTGAAATAATTATCAAAACATATTTAATAATATCTGAGGATTATGTAAGCTGGTCAGAATGGAAGCCAAAATGCAATAAAAATCAAAAGTTGTAGTCATTTCCGGTGAAATAGGAAGTGACCGAAAACAATTGAATACGTCAATCAATCCTAATTTATGTCATATACTAACATACTAAATGATCGTTTTAACGTATCGCTTTTTTATCTGAAAAAATAAAAAAGTTATAGGGGATGAGCCACTTTTGAGATGCACCTGTACCTTCCGCTCCGCAGATCGACACACTAACGCTGGGGCTACGGCCGGCCACCCCTATTCATAAATATACGTAAAAATTAGGTTTTGATTAAAAATATGATGAGCGTAATAATCCAGCAGACGGACCTTAGACTAGTGTTTAAGTGTTTTTTGTTTTTCATTCTTTAGATATTGATTTTTTAAACAGCGAATATGAATACTAATAATAATACTTTAAACGTCGGACAAAGCTGGGAGTTATTACATTGGATCCACAATCAGTGATGCGAGCATAAAATACAGGGTGGTCCGAATTGTATTCCGGAAACTTCGGCAGCATATTCTGCAGATAAAAATAAGTAAAAAAAGTTCGTATAAATGTATGTCCTAAAATGCTTAGTTTCGGAGATACAGAGTGTAGAAATTTCATTTTTATTTCGATTTTTTCCAAATAATTTCTGAAGTAACGTCAATATTTAGATGAAAATTGGTGTCTGGAAGTTTTTTGACATGAGAAATTTAATTTTGATGTCAATATGACTCCTACTAGTAGAGGGCGCCACCTACATGTGTTTTAACTGTTTTGAAGCGTAATAATACATGCCATTATTAACGAAAAATAAACACGTTGAGTAGATAGTTATTTCACTGAAATATAATAAATTTGTGAAATTTCTATTTTTTTAAATAAATCATATTTTTTCTGCAAAAAAATGATGATAAAACAGTTTTTGTTGAACTTTTGGTACAAAAACATTTCAAATTTATGATCTCAGTCTAATAACTATCTAGTCAACATGTTTAATTTATGTCAGTGATGACAGGCATTGATAATTTCGATTCCAAATATCTCGAAAACCACTAGTCGTAGCGATTTTTACCAAGAGACTTTTTTTACGTAAAAAGCGTCGTAAATGTATAATTAGTTTTATACGGGTACGGACGAAAAGTTATTACTCTTCATTGACATCAAAATCAAATTTCTCATGTCAAAAAACTCCCAGACACCAATTTTAATCCAAATATTGACGTTACTGCAGAAATTATTTGGAAAAAATCGAAATAAAAATGAAACTTCTACACCCTGTATCTCCGAAACTAAGCATTTTTGGACATACATCTATACGAACATTTTTACTTATTTTTATCTGCAGAATATGCTGCCGAAGTTTCCGGAATACAGTTCAGACCACCTTGTATATACGTCAAAAACTTTGTCGGTTCCATCTGCTATATGTTGGCGCATTTATCTTGAATTTTCAGGCTTTGTGAAAATATTCTTTAGATCGTTTGATCTTTAATTCATTTAAAAATTAATTTCATGAAAAGTTTTTAATAAATGACATATAAAGGTCAGCCCAACAAATATCATCTTTTTTATTTAAAATGCCACTATAACGCCATTTTTTTCGATAGCAAAGTACATAGCGTATTATAATTTTCCGTGTTCTTAGTTCATTCGCAGATAAATATAAGGCAATGAAAATAAATTTTTATCCCAGTTTGAAAAAAATGAGACAGACAGGTCGATGTTTTTCGTCTTCTTCTCTAAAATGTTTATAGTCGGCGTTCGCGCCGCTCTCCTAAATTTCCAGATTTAAACATACCCGTTTCTAAATTTAACTCGCAGCCTCTCGACTTTCTACCGTGCATCTCCGGGCATTCATTGTGATCTTTGCCAAGTTTTCGTGTGGATTTTCGATTTCTTTTTACCGTTCCGATTTCGTGTATACAATATTTCAGGCGAAATATATAGTACGCTCAGGTGAATTTTCTGTTATGTTTCACTGCTTAGGACGCTGCGATAAGGTATTATACTCGGCGTTATGTATCCCGTGCATGTTTAGAAACGAAGTTTTTTATAATTAGAGTATATTTAATAGTGAGTACCTAATTTATTTAGTTGTATTGGTTTGAGTTTGCATTAGAATCATCTTTGTCTGCTTGTACTAATACAGATTGTAGTTATAAAAGCTGCTGATTCAGGATTTCTTAAACTGGAGTTAATAGTTTATAAGTCAAAATTGGAGAAAAAAAGTGGGACATTATCACACAAAGCGTCGCGTTTATTTTTACCCCTAATGACAAATTATTTATGCGTTTAATTTATTGTGTCTCATTTTTAAAATGATATAATATTTTTATATTTTGAGCTGGGTTATTCAATAAACGAGCACAGAAAGCTTTTAAAAGCTTCATTCAGAACCTCGCAATTAGTGGAATAAATTACACTTTATACTTTTTAGTTTACGATCATTCACAATGTCTAAAAAAACACAATTAAAATTAATAGAATATCCTAGCAACAGCTTGCGGTAGTCTGTTGTATCCATAGAGAAAGCCAAATATTTAGCTTATAAAACAATAAACTTTTGATTTCTAATCACAATTTCTCTTGATGGATGATAATCAAAGGTCAAAATGACATTCCCCGCAAATTTTGAAGTATAATAATTAGTGGAAAAGTCAGAAGTTTGTTAACTTTTTCTATTAATTGAAAATGTCTACCACTAATTTAGACGTTCTGAATGCTTACATTGAAATAAAAGGAATAAACTTCTACGCTAATCGAAACCACTAATTTATTCCACTAATTGTAAGGTTCTGAATGAAGCTTTAGATATAATTAAAACCACTAATTTTTCGAGATTTTGAGTGAGTCAATTTTTAATATGCATTACTAAAAATGGAATACGCTGTCAAATATTACAGTTATTGTATAATAAACACCTTTTTTAAAAGGGATGCCCTATATATACCGGGTGCGTCTCAAAAGTGGCTCACCCCCTATCATTTTTTTATTTTTTCAGATAAAAAAATCGAGATTTGGTATATTAATATATGACATGAATTAGGATTGATGTCACCTCCTGTTACACCGGAAATGACTACAACTTTTAATTTTTAAATGGTGCCCTCGGTGTTTTGTTGCTTTATACACAACACTCTTTTGACATTTTCGAATATTGTTTATTTGAAATTGTAACATGCGATTCATAACGACAATTTGACTCGAAATACCAATTGTGTGGTATCAAATTATTCGTAAAAAAATGCTGTTTCCAAATATGCTAACGAGTCACCCTCGTTCCATTTGAAGAAACTGAGATATGATTAAAAATACGATTTGGGCATTTATTAATCGGCCAGGACAAGACACGAATAATATTAGACGATCAAATCTATTTTTCCGAGGCTCCTTGATTTAAAATTAGTGTTTTTAATACAGCTATGGCACTCTAGATTGAAATTTAAAATTCAGTTTTGTTTTAAGCAAAAATGTCAAAAGTTGACATATGCTATGTCATTCTATTTAGAATGTCATTCTCTATCGAATAAAGTAAAAAAATACCGAGGGTGCCATTTAAAAATCAAAAGTTGTAGTAATTTCCGGTGAAACAGAAAGTGACAGAAAACAATTGAATACGTCAATCAATCCTAATTTATGTCATATACTAACATACCAAATCTCTAAAGTTATAGGGGTGAGCCACTTTTGAGACGCACCCGGTATATTACAAGCATAGTTAGATATACAATTCCCGATTTCAAAAATATGTAATTCAAATAAAGATTAAAAATATCATACATACCTCTTTTTTTTAATGAGCCTGGGAAGATTTCAGACAGGCGACATCTAAAAATGACAGAAAATTAAATTTACGTCTTTAGATTTTTAGGACTTCAATTCAACCATGTTTTCATGTTTTTTTTTTAGGGTTCCGTACCCAAAGGGTAAAAACGAATCCTATTACTAAGACTTCGCTGTCCGTCCGTCCGTCTGTCACAAAGCTCTATCTTATGAACCGTTATAGCTAGACAGTTGAAATTTTTACAGATAATGTATCTATGTTGCCGCTATAAGAACAAATACTAAAAACAGAATTAAATAAATGTTTATAAATAAAAAAGTACTTTCGCTAAACATTATCTTTTAAGTAACAATTTTACATAGAATCTTTCAAGTTCTCGGTGACCGTGTGCTTAAAGCGTTAGGAGTAGGACTTTACGCTGCTATGACGTTGGAGCCGTAGTAAGGTTCGAATCCTAGTCAAGGCGACTTTTTTTTAATAGTTTTTTTTTAATTTTTACATATTTTTACATATTTATTTTTACTTTTTACATATTTATTATTGATTAATACAATTTTTAGTAATGTGTTGCTTAATAATCCGTAAATCGGAAGAAAGTTTATAATAATATAGTGTCTAATGTTGTATAGATAATGAATGGTACGGAACCCTTCGTGCGCGAGTCCGACTCGCACTTGACCAATTTTTAATTTTTGTAAAACAAAAAACAAACATGAAAACATGGTTAAAATTTGACAAAGTGTAAACGGGATTAACCACTCAAAACATTTTCATAAAAAATTCAGCAAAATTTTTTCATGAAGAATGCATTTTTTTCAAAATGTCAGTAATAAAAGTTTTTCCTCTTGTAATGACAATCGGGGGACATACTGTAGACCAAAAAAATTAGAAAGTTAGACTATTATATGTGGGACAAAATAAAATAAATCTATATTGGTGGATTTGTTTAATTATTATTAGTTATGATAAAAACAAAATAAAAATATTGACTTTTTTCTGAATTATGCGGGGTTGAAATTGAAATTACATATTTTTTATTACCTTATAGTTTGTATTACCTTTTTTCGTAGACTATTGGTACTTATTACCTTTAAATTAAAAAAAAAATACCTCATTGTTTTCTATTCCTTGAATTACTAATGTTAGTATTATTAATTATCTGTTATAATAAATTTTAATATGGTTAAATTATAAGTTTGGGAAATCCTGTAATAATTAATATAATTATCCATTTATTTTTTCAATGCGTTTCTTCATTAGATAGATAATTGTGAATAGCTTTTCTGTTAAGTAAATAAAAATAATATAAATTTATTACTAAAGATAAACCTACATAGAAATTAAATACTATATTTATGTAAATGATTTTAATATTATTGTAGTATATTTTAGTTAAGTAATGAAGGTTTAATATTGGCTTGGACATATTAGTAATATCATCATCAAAATGCTGCACTTGCATTTTTTCAATATCAAAATCATCATATCTATCATAATCAATAGTTTTGTTTATGAAATTAATAAGAATTCTTTACAAACACTTCATTGTTTTGTTATTAGAAGACTAGGATATCAACGGTCCAATTGGAGGATATGGAGATCATGGAGCAATACAAAATATTGACTAAAGAATTAGAAGCAAAGATCGAGGTCAGTAGAATTAAAATAAAATTTCCCATAGTATATTAAAAAAGCGGTAACTATTTAAATTATTTTCAGGTCTTAGTAGAGACCCTGAAAGAGAAGGATTCTCAAATGCAAGCAATTCGCACTCAGTACGACGAAATTTTGACTACTTTGGAAGAAAAAGAGAACCGGATAGTTGATTTGGAATTTGAGCTTTTATCCAATCAGAACTCAGGAAAAATAGACAAATCTCTCTTAGAAAAAGGCGACACGGGTTCCGAGAAACATAGCAGCTTTTACAAACAAGAACTCGAGGAAAAAAATCAAGAAATCGAAAGACTCAATATTGAGCTGAAAAAATGTACGTGTTATTTACAAGAAATTGTTAACAAAGAACTTTGGGAGAAAAACAGAGAAATAGAAAAACTCCATAGAAAACAAGTTTCCGTACCCGAGGTTGTACAGTTAAAAAAGGAATTGTCGGGAAAAGATTTACAATTAAAAATGTTAAAAGAAAAAATATTTGAGTTGGGACTGGACATTGAGCTTCCAAATAATTTGGAGGAAGTAATGTCTCCAAAAAGGAAAACCGAACATATTGAATCATTGCAGATGCAACTGAGAAACGCCAAAGAGGAAAAGGCTTATATGGAGAACCGTCTACGGGAATCAGAAGCCTTAGAAGATGTAATTGAAAAATTAAAAGTAGAAAATTTCTCGATACGAGAAGACTTAGAGAGATGCGAAAGACTTAGAAACGAAACAAATGAGGTGTGTTCGATTTTGGGAACTCGGCTCGAAGAACTGGCAATTTTCCTGGATTCTCTGCTTAAACATAAGTCCGTTCTCGGTTACTTAGGCATTGCAAAGAACAAAAGACTAAGGGAAATTATCAGCAGTAGTCTGGATATGTCCAGATCTTTTTCGATGAGCTTAATAGGAAATCCCGAACACAGTTTAGCTCAGCTTTCAAACATAACGGCATTTCTTAACGGTTCCGTTTTTCAAGAACTCAGTTTGGCCGAAGAGGAGGCAGAAACCCATCTGACTATCGTACCTGAGAATATCTCTCTTACTTATGAGAGTAATTTGTGGAAAAAAACGAGCTCCCGACAAGAAGAACCGGATAGCGAACGTGTTATTTCAACTCTGCGCGAACAAGTTTTTAATTTGAAACAAGAATTACGGCTTCGCGACACCGAATTGAATAGGTACAACAGCAAGAAAAATACCGAAACTGAGGATGATAACGAAAAGATAAAGTTAACGCCTTTGAAAGAAAGAGATATCCAGAGTGAAAGTGAAGCTTGGAGCGAACCTGATCGAACTGTATCCAGGGCTAGGATTGGCCTTAGTCATTCTTTACCTATCGCTGCTAAAATATCCACCGAATCGACAGAGGAAGATGATTTCTATCTAGAGAATATTACACCTACTAAAAAGAGAAGTTCTGTGGCAGAGTTAACAAAAGGTACGAACTATTTACTTTTTATTATTTCTTATTTGTACAACATTTCCTTCTAGATATTTATCGATTGGAGAAGGAATTGGAGCAAAAAACAGACGAGGCTGCAGAGAATCAGAAGTTATTTAAACAAAACATACATGAACTTGTTGCAGAATTACAGCAAACAAAGGAGCAACTGTCACAAGCACAGAATGAGAAAGATGGGGCTCAACAGAAAATAGACAATTTACAAAAGGTAACTAATTTGGAAGTACACTCACCGGCATGAAAAACGGGACCTTAAAATTTTCATGTAAAGTTTTATATATTGTGGACGTGTAAAGTTTTATACCGGGTGGCCCATCGAAAACGTTCCGCAAGGCATAACGGCCAGAGTAATTTTTTTTCAGAAACACATCAATTTTATTTGTGAGGGGGACAACTTTTGTCCCAAAAATGATTGCAAAATCTTCAACCCTCTAAGCGGGAGTGTCATCCCCCAACTTTTTTCAAATGGGATGGGGGATCAAGTGGCGCCGCGCCGCAATGAAAAGAGCTTTCTATACTCTATATTTCCCCGCTTCGTTTTTGAAAATTGGTCGAGTCATTGAGAAAATATGAAGGATTGAAATTTGAAAAGAGTTTATTTAAACATTTATCAGAGTAAATGATAAGGATAAATTCCTTCGACCAATTTACTGTTTTTTCTTATTATTTCTAGATGTTCGTTTATTATTTCTAGATGTTAATAGAAAGCTCTTTTCATTGCGGTGCCACTTGACCCCCCTTCCCATTTGAAAAAAGTTGGGGGATGACACCCCCGCTTAGAGGGTTAATGATTTTGCAATAATTTTTGGGGCAAAAGTTGTCCCCCTCACAAACAAAATTGACGTGTTTTTGGATTTTTTGAAAAAAAATACCCTGGCCGTTATGCCTTGCGGAACGTTTGAACCCTGTATGTTGTTTATATATCGTTGGACCACAAGCAATTTGTAGCTAAATTATTTGACTTTTTTGAAAATCTGTCAATTATACGAGGAAAAACAAAATGTTGATATTTTGGTGAATGTTTGTAACACCCTGTGTAGTACGTTAACACAGCAAGGAATTTAAAAATCACTTTATCATCTAATTGTATATTTTTTCGATAGTTTGTTTTTTGATTCATCTCAATAGCTTTATTTTTTTTGGATATGGATATTCGCTTTTGAAGGAGACACTAACATTTTTTCGAATTTTTTACTTTAAAGCCATGACTTTGCTGTTAGCCAACAGACCTATAAAATAATGTTTATGATTTATTTAATGTGACTGTCTTTGAAAAATTATATTATTATTGTCTGTTGGGCAGTTAAAGGTGCGATTTCCTAGCGTGGTCTGGCGCCCGCGTCTCGCCGCACAATGGTTCGTTTTTTGAACGTATGTGACTAAACCTGCATATCAATGAAAAGTAATATATCGCTTTGTAGGGAAACAAATCAGTGCGCGACGGGCCGCCGACGCCAGACGTCGGCGTCGCTAAGACATCAGACCTTAATCTAGCCGATATAGTTTTAAGTCCAAAAGTTGATCTTTACCATGATCAATTAAAGCAGCAATAGCCGATATTTCAGAACTTAAAACCATCTATTCTAGAATAAACGTCAATAAACGATAATAATATGACTTTTCAATGACAGTGATATGACAAAATACACTATTATATAAGTGTGGTGATCAGGACCCAAAATCAATACTAAAATTGCTGTAAATCGTTACTGTCTTATCCAAAAGCAAATATCTCCAATAAAAATAAAGCTATTGCGATGAATCAAATAACAAACTCTCGAGAAAAGACGTATCTAGATGATAAAATTATTTTCAAATTTCTTGCATTGTTAACATATTCCACAGGGTGTTTGAAACTTTCACCAAACATTAACATTTGCTACAAAGCTACAAATTGCTTAAAAAATCATCAAAATTGGCCCACTAGAACAGAATATATTAAACTTTAAAATACATAAAATACATCAATGGATCAATGCATCAATTTTAAGGTGCCCGTTTTTTGTGCCGGTGAGTGTATATCAAATTATCCACATTTTACATTTTATTTTTTTAATTATTTGTAGATGGTAGATGATTTGTCTAAATATAAAGCTCATTGCGAAGCCAATATAATAAGTAAAGACAAAGAGTCACATGACCAAATTAATCGGCTAGAAATAGAGAAGGAGACTCTGTTGACAAGAGTGCAAGAATCAGAACGTCAACTCGTTGATGCTAAAAACGAAATTTTGGTCGCACAAGGGAAACTAGAAAGTATTCAAGAAAATTTAGAATATCAAGAAGCAACAATAAAGCAGCACTATGAAAGCGATTTTGTTTTAAAACTAAAGCAAACTGAAGAAGTATATAGTAAACAAATCAAAAGTTTGGAACAAAAATGCGAAGCAGAAGTGAAAATATCGCAAGAGAATTTAAGGTTAGTGAAAGAGGAATATTCAAGAGACTATATAAAGAAATGCGATGTAGAGAAAAAATTAGCGGAAGTTGAAAAATTACTCAAAGAATTAGGGGATTTGAAAACTACTGTAGAGTCGTACGAAGAAACTATTAAATCTTACAAAGAAAAGGAGAAAGAAGTCAGAGGTGTCGTTCAGGAATACCAAGATAAATTGTCGTGTTTGAAAACAGATCTAGAAAAAACAAGGTTGCAGTATTCGGAAACCGTACTGGAAAAAAATAAGCTTTATGAGGAAAATCAAACTTTGTCAAAAGAAATAGAATTAATCAGTAAGAAGGAGGAAACTTTGAGTGCCAATCTTAATCAAATAAAAAATAATCTCGAAGAGGTGTCGCACAAATATGATCAACAGGTGTCAACATTGCATAGACAGAAGACTGGCTTGGAATTGAAAATAAGTGAACTGGAGAGTGCCAATGCTGAATTACATAACAGGTTAGTAAAGATTCAAACGTGTCGAACGGGACGTCCCCCATGTCGAGGCTTTCAACGACAGTATTCAGACGATGATGAAGGCCGCAACGTTAGACTAAACGAGCATCCTAATGAAGAAGTTGAACGAGCGGTAGCGAATTCTTCTCCTGATTTAGGCATTGAAAGCGATCACGGAAGGTATTGAGTTTCTTAAGTATTAGGAAAATACATTTGTTACATATTTGTTGTATTTCAGATTCTCCAGTTTGGAAACGAATGCCAACAACTTGCCCAGACCATTACTTCAAACAATCGAATTAACGGAATCCATGAATAATCTTTTTGAGGAACATCAAGATGAATTACACGCTCAAGGTGCGTTATAGTATTATTCCATAATAGATTTAATGTTTCATTACATCTATTACACATATTTTTCCAACATTTTTTTGATATTGTCTGTCAAAACTGTAAATTCATTCTTAACTTTATTTTTACAGACATTTGTAGTCTGATAGTTTTTTAAGCGTAAGTAAAGTATCACCAGAGAAAGTAAAAAATACAATGTAACCAAAGAGTCGTCAAGTGTTCTTTGGTAGAATATATTTTTATGATAAAGCAATTGCAATTGCAATTTTTTTCAAATTTAAGTTTTTTTATACATATTAAAACAGATTTATTAAAGATTAAAAAATGATCAGTTATTGATAGCTAAGTATTAAGAAAATAGTGATACTACTATGGAATAAGGTTTAGTTATAATCAGTGATGGGCGGTAGGTAAATACCCAATGGGTTGGTTAGCGGTTAGGGGTCCAGTCTTGGTCTTAAACTTGCTGCAAGACTCTTGTGTCTTGCATTTTTTAATAGATTTTTACTTGAGCCACTTTCTACATAGAAAATATTTAAATAAATAGTATTTTTACTAATTTAATGCAAATAAAAGTTAAACAAATAGTATAAGGTAAAAAAATGCAAGACTGCAAGACTCGTATATATGCTTGGAATTGCGGAAGTCTTACTTTGAATCGGTCTTGCAGTTTAAATGCTATTCGTCTCGCTCATTACTAGTTCTAAACCACGGTTTTCGACAATTGTATACGTCAAAAACGAATACACAGCTAAATATTAAAAAGGGCAGATAATGGATGACAATCTTGTTTATATCTTCTATAGATATCTCCATAAATATATGATTATACGAAACTTAATGTCGCGCTATTTCCCTTCGCTTCCTTGTCGTTACCTAATCACCTCAGCTTTTTATTCCTCAGCTTATCAGCGGTATTAGAGATATTGTAAGAAAACCAGAAGGGCAATAAAAAGTGCAAGATACTGCAAATAAAATGGTAGGTTGCAAGTGTTCCTCACATTTTTTTCATTTTAAATACTAAACGAATGATAGGCTTGATAGCCCCTCTCTTCTAGATTTGTCAGAGACCTTTAATAAAAGTGGTGGTGATATACCACCTTTCAGACTATTTATAATACATACATACATACAGCCGTTACTCGCTGACGAATATTCGACACACATAAAGAAGATGGTCACGCAAGGCGTTTTCTTTCATGAGCTTTTCTGTGACTGAAAAGCCCAACTATTTATAAGGCTCTTGTTTGTCGCACGTGTTATTGCCCTTCTGTTCTTTTGATAATGTCTCTCCCTTTTAGGGTGCATCCACATCATCCTAGAAACAGCGGAACGGCGTATCGGCGTAATGACCTTGAATAAATTTCCAGCAATTCTATTGGCTGAAATTTTTCGAAAATTCATCTGTCAAAAATTTCAGCCAATAGAATTGCTGGAAATCGATACAAGGTCGTTACTCCGATACGCCGTTCCACTTTTTCTAGGATGGTATGGATGCACCTTTATAGTTTAATTTTTTTAGAGATTTTTGATCTAACAAATTTTTTCAAGACCAAAAAAATTTGTTAGAAAATCTCAGACCATCTACTGTGATTACGATGAGACTGTTAACTACACTGATTATAGATAGTGATTTGATATAAAAAAATCGTGCCAAAGACGGCTGGGGAATGACAATCGATAATAATTTTGATGAGATCAATCTCCAGATGTTATTTACTAAAAATTGACGTAAAGCTTATCAAAAATGAACACAATTATAGATAGATTAAAAAAGATTAGAACGTTTCCAACACAAATCTATTTCGAAAAAAAAAATTCTCGAATTTTAAAGTACACCATTTTAAAATAAATAATTTTTACTTAATATAAAAATAAATTACAACCTTAAGGCCAACTAGCAGTGAGCGTCATTAAAAAATAAACGGCGACGTCTAGGGATTCACCTTTCGTTTACCTGAAATGAGTTATGTAAGAAATATTTGTTTATTTAGTATTTTTGGAATCCTTTTCGAATAGTATGTCCCAACATTTTTTCTTTGCGGAAATGCATCCTTTTTGAGTTTTTCAATTTGAAAATAGCTGAAATCAGGGCTGCTTTCGTTTAGCTGAAATCAGTTATGTAAGAATATTTGTTTATTTAGTATTTGGAAGCCTTTTTGAATAGTATGTCACAAAAAAAATTCTGCAGAAATGCATAATTTTCAGTTTCTCAACTTTAGGAATGCTGAAGTCCGTGCTACTTTCGTTTAGCTGAAATCAGATATGTGAGAAATATTTGTTTATTTAGTATTTGGAAGCCTTTCCAAATAGAAAGTCACGAAAATTTTACAACTGAACCCATCCATTTACTTTTAGTGCATAGCAATTATTTTCAGCAATCGTGTAAATTTTTTTATTTATAAAGATTTTCACATACTGTCTGCGAAGAAAATATAGCAGAAAAATGTTAAGAAATTTTTTGAAAAAAACTACAATCAATATTATTTCTAATAGATTTCGAGATATCGATTTTTGAATTCAGAGTTCTAATAGCGCCGACCACTGTCGAACATCAACTCAATTCCACTTATTTTTACCAAAAATGCAAGTGTTTCTAACTTGCACTTAAAAATATTCGAGCTATAGGGAAAATTACAACGACTCGTTAATAAATAAACAAATAAACTATCACGAGACGTAATTAAATCGTGAAGCTGAACGCATGATGCACACCTTTCCCTAGATCTTTAAGTACTGACAGAAATACTGATTGGGTCAACCGGTTGACTGCGACAAATCTGTTTATCCCCTTCCACGTCTCTTAGCAATGTGCACAGTTTCTCGGTTTATTTCATACGCTTGGCAATGTGTTTACTGTTCTATCTTTGTTCAGTACATTATAAACGCATTGTACTCTTCTTACATACGGAAATCTCGACACAAGACTAACCTTTGCCAGCCCTTAGTATGATATAAATTATTAGGACTGATTGACGTTTTCATTTGCTTTTGGTCATTTCCTGTTTCATCGAAAATTACTACAACTTTTGATTTTCAGTGGCACTCTCGCTATTTTTCTACTTTATTCGATATACAATGACACCCTTAATAGAATGACATGTCATGTCAACTTTTGACATTTTCGCTTTAAAAAAATCGTATTTTAAATTTCAATCTAGAGTGCTATGGCTGTGTTAAAAACACTAATTTTTAATCAAGGAGTCAAGGAAAAATAGATTTTATCGTACTAATGTTTTTCGTGTCTTGTCCTGGCCGGTTAAAAGATGCCCAAAGCCTATTTTTAATCATACCTCATTTTTTTTCAAATGGAATGAGGGTGGCTCATTAGCATATTTGGAAAAAGCATTTTTTTACGAATAATTTGGTACCACACACTTGGTATTTCGAGTAAAATTGTCGTTGACGCGCCGGTTTTTTTTCGATCGTCTGGTATAATATATATTTGTTTACAGGACAAACACACTGTTGCCAGAAATCACGCCATGTTGAGCAGGAAAACAACGACCTAAAACAGAAGTTGCTACGAATGAAACGGGCGCTGGAAGAGACGGCTGCTCAACTCAATTTAGCCAACCAGAGAAAAAAGCAGGTGGAGAAAACCATTTGTAAACAGATACATAAAACCAGTCAAGTGCTCAGGAAGGCCAAAGCGAATTTGGATTCGGGTTCGGAAAGTGACGTGTTGCGCACGTGAGACTGTTTTTTTTATCAAGTCTGTCTATTTTTGTATATATTATTTTTAAACTTGTATATGCCATTAAATTTTAGGTTTCAAAACTGTAACATTTTATACATAATGTATAATAATTATAAATAGCAATAGTAGTTTTTTTTGAATGACAGAGTGTAATGAATGAAACTTTAAAAACTTCTCAGGAAATTAAGGTATTTTTGTTATTGTAATGACGTTCTATGTGCCAATTGTTATGAGAGTTTGGAACGGAATGAGTTATATTAGTAAGGGTGGCTGCAACGACGTCCCGTAATCCCGCCGTTAACAATTGGTTTTTATATATAAAAACCAGCTGTTATGTTTTAACAGCAGGATTACGGGATGTCGTTGCATCCACAATAAGTAGTTTTAATTGTCCTCTCTGGGTTGAATGTGACCTTTATGAATCGGAAATATAATTTTGACTCTTATATACGTTTGTAATTTATTTGATTATTTTTTAAATTCTTACACTTATTTTTTATGTGCGGAGTATTAAAAATTTGTTTTACGAATATATTAAAATACAGTATTTTGTGATAAGATGTACATATTTTTGAAGAAAGTTTGTATATGTTGAAGACCAATAAATATTTTTTGAGTTTTCCAAATTCTGTTTGATTTTGATCCACTGAAAAGAGGTATTTGTTCAACAGTTCTAATACCCTAAGTAATATTTTACATTCTGTTGGTGCGCCCACTAAATTCAATTTTTATTTATATCTACTATACCGGGTGCGTCTCAAAAGTGGCTTGCCCCTATAACTTTTTTATTTAATTGACGTATTCAATTGTTTTTGGTCACTTCCTGTTTCACCGGAAATGACTACAACTTTTGATTTTTAAATGAGATCCCAGGTATTTTTATACTTTATTCTATAGAAAATGACACTCTGACTAGAATGACATATCATATGTCAACTTTTGACATTTTCGCATATGGTTTATTTCAAATTATAACATGCGGTTCATAACGACAGTTTGACTCGAAATATTAAGTGTTTGTTCTCAAATTATTCGTAAAAAATGCTTTTTCCAAATATGCTAGTGAACCACCCTCGTTCCATTTGAAAAAACTAAGATATGATTAAAAATACGATTTGGGCATCTTTTATAACTGGCCAGGACAAGACAATAAACACACAGACGATCAAATCAACTTTTCCAAGGCTCCTTGATTAAAAATTAGTGTTTTTAACACAGCCATAGCACTCTAGATTGAAATTTAAAATAGAATTTGTTTTGAGCGAGTATGTCAAAATAGGACAGAGTGTCATTTTCTATCGAATAAAGTAAAAAAATACCGAGAGTGTCATTTAAAAATCAAAAGTTGTCATTTCCGGTGAAACAGGAAGTGACCGAAAACAATTGAATACGCCAATCAATCCTAATTTATGTCATATATTAATATACCAAATCTCGTTTTTTTATCTCAAAAAATAAAAAAGTTATAGGGGGCCACTTTTGAGACGCACCCGGTATAGGTATATCCAAAATATTTATTTCCGCTTGTTATAAAATCGCTTAAATCATTGTTATTTTACATTAATTATTTTATTTAAAAAGTCGAAACACATATAATTATCATCGTGTTCCTATACCTAAATCTTCTGGTTTCTTCAGTAAAGCCATTTGATAAATAATAGTTCTATATGATAGTTCTAATATGATCGAAAAAAAAACGACGCTTAGGCTGGAAGATTTAGGTATAGAAACGTCGCGTCGTTGAAAAGCAATTTTATTAGTCTTTTGATTTGTTTGAATATACATAGGGTTGAATTTAAAATAGCAAAGATTTAAGCAATTTTATACAAACGGAAATAAATAATTTTTTTGCTCTCCCTGTATAATATCTAATCAGTTGATTGAGAGAGATTGAGATGTTGACTTTCGTTAACTTATAACCCAAATTTCAACTTTTATAATGTTCAATTCATGATTTTACCAATGCTTATCAAAATCATGGATTTGTTAATTTTACACATCTTTTGAAAAATTATGAGATATGAAAGTCGTTTCTAAAAATGTAATAATATCCGGGTGTTCCAATTAAAATAAGAAAGATGCTACCACTTTTCAAATGATGCGGCAACATTGTAAAGCTGAAAATATTTTAGATAGATGGAGTAGGCACTATATGAAAAAATCCAAATTTTCAAACGTACCGTCGAGCCGTAAATCACCCTATATAGGGTCCGGCAACAGTGCGTCGGGATTTGTAGCTCCTAGAATAAAAAATTAGGAATTTTGTTTAAGTGCAAACCTAAAGCAACCTAAAGTATGTACGAGGATGTATTTCAGGAAAATAATTTAACCTCTGGTGGCTCAAAAGTGTAGGTAGATCGGAATTATTTTTTTACATGGACCACCCTGTATATTATTGCATTTTTGGCCCTAGGTCATCATAAATATATATGATCTAGGGTTGTTAATAACCAGTTGACACACAGAGATACAAAGCAATACAGGGTTGTCTGTTCCTATGTGGTAGTTAAAATTAAATACCGTATGATCGAAAAAAAAATGGAGTCCAGGTTGGCTGGGAAATGACGATCGATGACATTTCCCATATAAATTTACATATAAAATGACAGCGATCTTCATTTCATAGCCATCGCTGACGCCGTTTTATCTCGATCATACGGTATTAGTGAGTTACTAATAAAAATTGAATTAAGCGTGCACATTATTGTAATGTAAAGTGTCGTATGTTTAAATTATTTCTGTTTACCGTGTGTTTAAATTTCCAAAAGGGTATCTGGATCATTGTCTTACATGTGGACTACCGATGCAGGCTTTGCCACGTCTGTAATAAATATACCGTATGATCGGAAAAAATTGCGTTAAAAAATTACCGAAGTTAGAGATGCCGATCGATAAATTTCTGTAAAATTGTATAATGTAAGTATCCACGGATATGGCTAAGACGTCTATCATACTTCATACCATATTTATTTTTATAAGGTCAGGACAGGACTGTTTTTTAATAACAAAACTGCAATTAAAAATAATCTTTGTATTTATGTATAAATATTGTATATACATTTCAATAAACATGCAAACACTCTTTGTCTTAGTCATAACTTAAATTATTTTTCTTAAAAAACTTTAGAGTAAACTTACATTTAATATTACAGACAGTCTTTAGTTTTTGTAATTAGTCTTAACAACCGACTTAGTCAAATAAATATTTTTGAACATTTTTAACATTCTCAATATTTTTTTATTTACCAGATAATGTCCAGAAAGGTAAAGTAATAGGATTGCTTATCCTCATAAAACCTATTAGTACGAGAGCTAGTAATGTCTGGAAAACAAGTTATTTAAGAAATCTGGCTGTTTGATATATCTTTTACTATGCGCTCTGGAACAGCGGACAGGCCGTCTGGCTGTCGATAGACGTTGCGTTCACTACTGCGCATTGAAATAAGTTCCTATATTTTTATTTAGTCCTTTAAATTCTAGTACTGAATATAAATCGAAAAAGGTGGTTTTTAAGGTTTCTTTAGAACTATAGAGTGTATAAATACTTTCATTTTGTGGTGTGGATTGTGACTGCCTACTATATTGTTTATTAATTATTCTAAAGCAAAATATGGAAGCACTCTAAAAAAGAAGCCTGCAAAAGGTGACGCTAGCAGAAAACGTTCCGCCTATAAAGCTAGTAGTCCTGAGTTCTATACCGGCTCGGGGTATTTTTTTTAAATTTATTTTCGTTTATAATCTGATAGTAATATAATAATTGTTTTTTGTTAATCATCAGAATTATTTAATACTTTACTATCAGAATATAAACGAAAATAAATTAAAAAAAAGTTTACTCCGAACCGGTATTGATCTCGGGACTTCTTGCTTTATAGGCGGAACGTTTTCGCGCCGCGCTATGAAGACTTGTCGATTAATATTAAATACTAGAATTTAACGGACTAAATAAAAAAAATATAGGATCTCCTTTCAATGCGCGATTGTTTACTAATATGTACTATTCAGGCTGTGTGTACGTGTGTGTTAATTATTTTGTCGATTTTAATAGCGAAAAAGGTGGTTTTTAAGGTTTCTTTAGAACTATAGAGTGTATAAATAGTTTCATTTTGTGGTGTGGATTGTGACTGTCTACTATATTGTTTATTAATTATTCTAAAGCAAAATATGGAAGCACTCTAAAAAAGATTGCCTGCAAAAGGTGACGCTAGCAGAAAACTGAAAAAAATAAAAATGTCAAATTAAATAGTTCCATATTACATATATTATTATACTTTTATGTAAATAAAACCCCTTATAATTATTTTCGCGCGCTGTTATAGATAGATAAAAATAGGGATAGTGTCAGACCATCAAATGATATGAGAATGGTTTTTGTATGTAGTGTATTTGTTAGCGGGTTATAAGTTACCATGTACTAGACGCAATTTGGTTTAATTTAATTTAATTCAAATGTAATTTGTTTTAATTTAGTGCCAGAAACACATACAGATGTTCGATCGCCTAGGTCCCCAATAATTGTGATAATTGGAGAAAGATTTGAAGTAACTTAGGCATTATCAGTAACATTGTTAGGAATAAATAAAAAAATTGCAAATGTGAACATAATAATATTCTATGTCTTTTTTGTGCCTTTTTAACGCCAATTTAGTCAAAAATAGTCGGATAAGGCGTTTTTAAGAACAGCAGTTCCTAGCATCGCCTTTCGTAGGCATTCTTTTGTGAGTGCTTCCATATTTTGCTTAAAATAATTAATAAACAATATCGTAAACACTTCATCACGAACCACAACACAGAATGAAAGTTTTTATACATTCTATAGCTCTAAAAAACTTTAAAAAGAACTTTTTCACAATTAAAATCGACGAAATAATTAACACACATGTACACACAGCCTGAATCCTTAATAGTATGTACAGTCTTAACAGCCGCGGGTATGGCTGACGTCAGAAAGCGAGGAGTATTTAGGAATGAGCAGACCTATTAGGGTTAACTGTTCTGGAGAGAATGTCAACTTATATCTAGATTTCTAGACAGTCTTTAAGTTAGTAACTTTACTATATTATTAGATTAAAATTATGATTTGAGTTTAACCTCTGAAAACTTTTGTCCTAAAATTTTCATTACGTCAGCATGCTTTATTGTGGGCTCTTTATGCAAAGCATAATTTTCTTTAACAAATAAAGCAAACCCTGTCAATTCTTTTTTTGGAGTAACTGGAACAGTCTTAACATCGCCCTGTTTAGAGGTTTTATTAAGGAGCACTTCAAATTTACCTAAACAATGTCCACAGCGTTTTCGGTCTATATTCAATGATTTGGAATGTCTTCCAATACTATAATAGGATATTGGTGAATAATTACCATTAAATTAATGTGAAATATTTACCTGTATCCACAACCTGTACATCTATAAGTGTACTTGGTTTTAATTTGATATGTATGGCACCGTTTAATTGGCGGAATTTCTGGGAAAGTTCTCATTGCTTTGAAAGCCCTGAAAAATATATTTTATTGGTAAATATCGTAAAGGTTGTGAATTAAAAAATTAAAAAGACTAAGAAGGAAGGAACATATCAACAAAATTGACAAGTCTGCCATTGGTTGCTTTCAATATGCTGCCGATCGAGACTACAGCGATTGTGTATCTGATGCTGTATGAGCGTACTGGGTCAATTGATCCCTAGGCTAGGCAGTACAATCGCCTTTTTTATTTTAATAAAACTATTTATTTACCTAAATAAATGGACTAGAGGACCGTCAACTCAAGGAAGCCAATAGCAAACTATTTTGAATATATTTACCTAGTTCTAGTACAACCTCTCAGTAGTGTCTCTGGTAGTGTTCGAATTCGACGTTAAATCCAATGTGATCGAAAAAAATAACGGCGTCAGCGATGGCTATGAAATGAAGGTTGCTTGTCATTTTATATGTAAAATTATATCGGAAATGTCATCGATTTTCATTTCCAAGCCAATTTGACACCATGTATTTGTAAAACACTGATGACACTCTTTTCTATAGGAGATAGACGAAAACTAATATTGGTGTCTGGAGCTCAATTTTTATCAAAAACACGATGCTGAAAATCGCACATGGATATCTGTTACCGTCTATGAGTTACGGAGTGTTTTTCAAAAATTTGCATTTTTTAAACAAATCGCTGTAACTTTTTTGCTATGGAAAATTTTGTATTTTTGTGAAAACATTTTCAAAGCATCTTTTTGCGTAGAATTTAATGGTTTCAGTATAGTTTTTTTAAAATTAATAATTTAAGAGTTATCAACAGAAAAAAATATTTTTTATACATATGTGACATTTAGAGTACCCTGTGTATTTTTAATTAAGTGAAAAGAATTTAAAATTACATTTCAAAAAATATAGCACATAGCACACTTGATATTTTGTTATACTCCCCTTCGAAATACAGAATTTTTAAAAGTTCGCCACTTAACTATTGTTACGTTTTTTGTCGGTTCCGTGTGGATAGAAAGTCACAATTTATTTAAACACTATTTATTTAACACTAATTAACAAAAACAATAACGATAAAAGACTTAAAGAACTATTTACAAACGATTTATAACTAAGAATTTATTTTTGAATTTTAGCGCGTCAACTGCACTCGTCTATTTATAACTGCCCTCTCTAGGCCACAGCCGCCGGCTTTTATACCTACAGTTAAAGTTTACTAGAATAGTCCATAGATCGTTAGGTGCATAGAGAAGGTTTCGAATGTTCTCGTATGTACTACTCCATTCCAGTGGGACTCGATTCTTCTCGAATCTTCGAATGAATCATTATGGTGTCTATTCTTTAATGCGATGTTAAGGTCATCCGAGGGCGGGCCATATAGTTAGGTTAGGTCGAGTCCACACCGGTCCGCAACACTATTATGCTTTGGACCCCTTATGATGATCTGCCCCTAATGGAACTCGAAAACATCTTTTTCCAGCAAGACGAGGCACCGCCTCAGAACGCTGAAGTTATCAACAAATTTTTGCAGCCAATTTCGAGAATAATTGAATAGCTAACCAAGATCCCAGCCGTTGGCCCTCGAGGCCGCCGGCCTTAGTGCCTGTTATCCTTAGTGGATTTTTATCATTGCGGAAGAGAATAAAGGTTGATTCTCACTATACCTTCCGTTTCCATTCCATATCCGTTCCGTATTTTTTATTGTATTGACGCTATACGTAAGCTTCCGTTCCTTATCAGTTCCATATTTTTTATTGTACAATTTATATCATTACGAAAGTTTTATTTTAAAAATTTGTATCTTTTGAAAAAGGTAATAGATTTATTATAATAGTATTAAAGAATAAATAAATATCAGCAAAATGTTAACAGAGCTGGTACAAATGTAAGAACTTGATAACGCTGTTTCCTATACGCTTCAGTTCGTCCGCCAAAAAAATGTATGGAAGGAAAGGATATGGAACGGAAGGGAAACGGAACCGATAGTGTGCATTGTCCCATTCATTTACATGATATAATATTTTATGTAAACGGAAGAGAAACGGAAGGGGGCTGATATGGAAGGTATAGTGTGAATCAACCTTTAAGGTTCTTATTTTTAAATTGCCCGTATAATCTAGACAATAATTAGAAGTACTTAGCGGTTATGCGATGGTATCTTTCACCCACATTGAGTTAACGATTTCCGCGAGAAATGTTCAAAAACATGAGAAATGTTAATAACAAAAGACGGTCGGGACATGTCGAACACCTGTAGCAAAATGTCATGTCTTGGTTTGCTATTAATTTTCATTGTTATTAATAATTTAAATGTGTTGTTATTGTTAAATATAGTTTAAATTGTTATAAAATTCTGGATCTCTCATTGCAAATATTATTTTCGTTTTAATTGCTGCTCACAGTTTTTTGCATTACAGCCGGCGCCGTTCAAAGCGTACTTATTCAAAGTGGGCGAATTTTTAAAAACTCTATATCTCGAAGAGGAATTGAGCAAACTATCAAGTATGCTATATATTTGGAAAGTCAGTTTTAAATACTTTTCAATGAAGTAAAAAAATACAGGGTGTCCCATATAAAAATCAAATTTTGTGTTGATAATTCTTAATTATTATCTTAAACAAATTATACTTTAAAACATTAAATTCTACGTAAAAAGGTGCTTTGGAAATGCTTCCACAAAAATACAAAATTTTCCATAGCATAAAAGTTACAATGATTTGTTAAAAATGCACATTTTTGAAAAGCACCCTCTAGCTCCGAAACGGTAAAAGATATCGATGTGCGGTTTTCACCCTCTTTTTCCTTGGCTTTTCCAAAATTATTCAAATTTGGCATGCGTCAACATTGAACACACCTTAAAAACCCTATTTAGAACTTCGCTGTAAAATTAACAGGGGAGTCAATATCTGGACAGTTCAAAATATGCATGGGATTTTCTATGTTTCCAACGACGATGTATAAAAAAATAATAAATAAATAAATATATACCACCCGGCATATATTTACCTTTACCTATGGTTCATCATATAGTTAGGTAATCAAAATCTAATTTTTACATATATTCATGAATAGAGAAATATAACAGCTCCTATATAATAAAAAAACTTAGGAATTTTGTATAAGTGAAAATCTAAAGTATGTATTAGGTATTAGGATGTATTTCAGGAAAATATTTTAACTTCTACAGGGTGGCCCAAAAAAGTGTTGAGTGGATCGGGATGATTTTTTTAAAATGAAACACCCTGTAAATTATTACATTTTTGGCTTCCTTTCTGACCACTTAATACACATAATCCTAAGATAAAATTAAATATGTTTTGATAGTTTCAGATAAAAAAAAATTTAAGGCTTTTTTTTAAATTATTAAAAATACAAGAAATGTCCTGAAATCAAAACTATACTAGGTATTTATATTAGCTTAGAACCTTATAATATAAACGAATTTTTCAATGTTAAATAGTGATTATAAGATTCATCTTGTGTCATGTTAGCACTGTTATACTTTAAACTTTTGAAATAGATTTCCTTTTGTATCGGGTTTTCCTGATGTCATTTAGATTATTTTTAATTGCAGTTTCAAAGGTTACTATTGCTTACCATAGTTGGTCTGTACTCTGCAGGTACTTTTCTATAAATATCGTAATTTTAAACCCTACACGGTGTTCAAAATTCTTCGCTAAACTTTCTAAAATATAAGTTTTCTTTTCTTTTTTTCTAAATGAAACACCCTGTATACTACTTCCCTTCCTTTGTTAGATAGAAAATTAAAAAATGACCATTAGTATTTTAAGCATTTTAAAATTTTTAGTGGTTCCAATTAAAAATAAAACGCAGAAATACTATTTTACATTTTAGAAATTGTGTGACAAAAAAAGTTGTCAAGTTAGCTTGGATATGAAGATTGATGAAATTCCTCATATAATTTTACATATAAAATGACAGCAATCTTCATTTCCAAGCTATCTCTAATGCCGTTTATTTTTAAGAATATAATGAATGATTTTCACTTAGACATACCAGTTTTTCCAGAACACACCATGTCCATTGGATACTTGATTTAAAATCCAGGTTGCTGCATGGCACATTTCATGTATTAATGTATCTCTCACTCTCTCTGGGGAATCCAGAACTTTGACAGATAAACTAATCTTAGCCTTAAAGTAAGCAAATAGTATATATTTTAATTTGAACTATATAATTAATTTTACCTGTCGTTCTATCTGACCATTTCTGTGGGTAGTTCGAACACAATAACATAAACCAGCTGTATTTCTTAATTTAGCATTCCATTCAATTATTGTATCTTTTGGTAAGAGATTGTTAAATACTTTTTCATTGTATAAGGCAAATAATTTTTCTACTAATCTGTGCTTATTAGCTTTAAAACTAGTTCTATATATTCGAGCTGATATGTCACATTTATTAAGAGGTATATGGTCTAAAATTTAGATATTTTTATAAAAAATATTTATTTTATTTAACTACCTTACTTGATAATGACTCTAAAAAACTATAAGATTTTTGTTTTGAGATCTTTACAGATTTTTCTTGATATAGTCTAGTGACCTCCTTATCATATTCTTCATCACTTGATACATCTTCCTCAGAAATACTATTAAATAGCTTTTGAGGCAGCAATTCCTTTGAATTATTTTCTTTATTACTGCTATTGCTTCCAGTTTCACTGCTATCCGAGTCACATAAATTCTTCAGTTTATTAACTATTGGTAACTGAAAATTTATGCTTTTGTGATTGAAATTTAGTTTTATACCTTTGGATTTTAAATTATCTTTTTTACTTGGTAACATGGGGTTTCTAAAAATAATTTAATTCTCAATAGAAAATCATGAGAAAGTGAAATATAAAGAATACTTTTCTGTTACAGGTAGAACATTTTTACTTGCTGTAAATGATTTTAATCTGTTCGATGGCTCTGATAATGGTAAAATACTGTCTTCTTTAGCTCTCCATCTCACACCATAAATTGAATCCAACAATGACTTCATTTCGTCAGAGTTTTCAGCCTTAGAACTGAATCCTAGGGATGAATTTTTTGGAGTACACTTATCAGAAGTCACAATTATCTTGGGTGAATTTACAGATTCACTATTATTTTGGGTGGATATCTTGTCAACAACTTTACTTTTGAAATGTTTTGTTGTTGTGGAAAACATTTCGTCAAATCTCTTTGTCACGTGTTCATCAAAAGTAGATGAAGCAGCTATTTTAGTTTCCCCTAAATTAACTTTACTTCTATTGTTATCATATATTGATGAAACCTGACTAAAGAAACTCTCATCATCTCTCACAACTTCAGTTTCAATATTATTTAACCATTCCTCTACTTTATTATTGCATTTATTATTTAAATTAAATGTTACTCTTTGACGCTCCTGGATTTGTTGCTTTGGAGAAGCTTCACTATCTGTAGAGTCAATAACAATACAAGCTTCAACATTGGTCTGCTTACTATTTCCTGAGCTAGATGTTTCTGAACTATCTTCAATAACTGTATGTTCATTTTCAGTAGAGCTAATTTTATCATATATTGAAGATCTTCTAAAATGCTTTTTCAAAGCTAGAACTTTTATAGCTTAAAGAAATACGTTCATATTAATAAAATATTAATTGATGGGTTATATTTAATCTTACATTTGTTATTTTTCAGTGTTTTCTGTCGATTTTTCAATCGTGGAGACATAGAGCTTAATAAAACAAAAGATTTTTCCATGCTTCTACCATAAAAAAAAATACAATTTAATTCAGAATTGTTTTTTAAACTATTCAGGATATATTCAAAAAAATCATCAAACCAGCAGATCAAACAATCGGTTGTTGTTTATAGAGCTGTCAGAACTGTCAGTGTCAGTTTGAAAAATTTAAAATTTGAGAAGAGTAATTTTATATTTTATCATATTTCATATGGCAAATGCACATATACATCATATATAATTTAAATGCCATTCGACTGAAGCAAAATATGTATTTTAAGCAAAGATTTTAAGAAATTTTTAATTACTAACAGGGATGGCTTTTATGTGTCTCTTCTTCTCTTCATGTTTTAACGGAAAATATCCGTAAAATGTAAAAAATAATAAATATCATATATCAACTTATAGGTATATGACAGTATATGATATAGAGCATATATATTTGATGTATATGTACCAATATGTACATATATGAATATTTTTATTTAAATTTATTTTGACAGCTGCGGATTGTTTTGCTTTGCTAAATTTTTAGGTTAAAGCTCTTTGGTACCACTTTTGGTACTATCCTTTTATTCTTTTTAAAGGTACTATTTGATATTTTTTGAGCTAATTTATTAATCTGTAATAAAGTATATTTTTCATAACCATCAAGAAATATTTTAGTTCGACCTAGGTAGATACAAAATTTGTTAAGGAAACTTATCGACTTCAAAATGTTCAAGAAAGCCACAATAAATAGAAGTATTGTACATTTAACTACCGATCAAATCATAGAAGACGTTGAGAGAGTATGTTTAGACGAAGAACAAAGAAGTAAATTATATTCTTGCCTAGACAACAAACCTCCTCAAGACCAAAGTTTTTCTAAGGTCAATACTTTTCTAAAAGTTGCCGACAGTTTGAGCGATGAAAAGAAACATTTGGAGACATTAGCAAATGAAGTTGAAGAATTAATAGGGGAAATTAATGAAAAAATAAATGTTATGAAAACTAGAATAGAACATTATCAAATTCGTAGTTGATATTTATTTGCTGCAATATAATACTTATAGAAAAATGTATAATAATAAAGAAATATAATACTTTTCAATGGAATGTTTCTGGATAACAATACTTATATGGATAAAAGCAACGTGTACAACAGCATTGACCTAAATACAATCAACCTAAATGTGTCAAAGTTATCTTCAATAACTTATGTACGTGTTGGTAACCTGGGTATATTCATAGAAGCCATAACTTCAGATTGTACATTTTCATCAGAAAAGTATAGACAACATGAACCTATAAACATTAAATAAGTAAAATTTAATACAGTATTTATTATTAATATAGGCACAGTTAAACTAAAATTAATTTTGTTATAAATCAAAGCAGTGTTTTAATACTAGCCCTTGCCCAGGAATTTTAATATGGAAAGAATGTAATGATTAATCATTAAGGTTTAGGGAAATAAGAACAAAAGCATTAATATATAAAGATGTATTTTTTGTATATATTATATAATTCACAGTAAACTTGGACGGAATGTGACTTTCAGACTACGTGCATCATACATGTTAAATAAGTACAAATTTTTGAGAACATTTTTAAAATATGTTTTGCAATAAATAATAACAATTGTTAATAATAAAATAGATATTATATTGCATTTGCAATTCCCATCACAAAATAGAGTAATATTTTAATTATTAGTAAGAAAAATGCATAGTTATATTAAGCCAGATCTGTCAGTTACTATTTATTACAGATTATCCACAAAAATAAAAGGTAAAATTATAAAATTGATGTAACATCTCACTATAAAATAGAAACCATTTTTTGATTAATTAATAATTGAATCAGGTCAAATTTTGTTTTATAGGTATCAGATCCATAGTACTTCAAACGTGATATTCAACTTTTTTCATAAGTTAAAAATTAATAATATTTATGTTCTATTCCATAAAAAAGCCACAGAAAAAAGTATGCATTGAAATTTTAGACCTCTATTTTCAATTAAAAAATTACAATTAATAAAAATACTATATGGCTTTAAATAAATATAAAAAGATGTTCTGGAATCTATGTGGCCAATAATATAATGACACTAACTATTACAGATATTTTTACCAAGATACCCAAAATATTTAAATGAAAACAGACTAAGTTTTCAAAAGTATATTCCGCATATAACTTTGAAACATTTTGAATATTTTTGTTTAAATAATTTATTTAAAATATTAATATAACACAATAAATTAATGATACTCGCCTGTTAGACATCATACCAGGTGCGTTTCGAAAGTGGCTAACCCCTATAACTTTTTATTTTTTTTCAGATAAAAAAACGAGACTTGGTATGGTAGTATATGACCTAAATTAGGATTGATTGACGGTATTCAATTGTTTTTGGTCACTTCTTGTTTCACCGGTAATGACTGCAACTTATGATTTTTAAATGGCACCTTCGGTATTTTTTACTTTATTCTGGAAAGAATGACATTTCTGTCAACTTTTGACATTCTCGCATAAAAAATCGTATTTCAAATTTCAATCTAGAGTTCCATGGCTATGTTACAAAAATTAATTTTTAATCAAGGGGCCTTGGAAAAATAGATTTGATCGTCTAATATTTTTAGTGTCTTATCCTGGCAGGTTAAAAGATGCCCAAATCGTATTTTTAATAATATCTCAATTTTTTCAAATGGAACGAGGGAGGCTCGTTAGTATATTTGGAAAAAGCATTTTTTTACGAATAATTTGATACCATACACTTGGTATTTCGAATTTTAGTTATGAACCCCATGTTATAATTTCAAATAAACCATATGCAAAAATGTCAAAAGTTAATATATGATATGTCATTCTATTCAGTGACATTTTCTATCGAATAAAGTAAAAAAATACTGAGGGTGCCATTTAAAAATCAAAAGTAGTAGTCATTTCCGGTGAAACAGGAAGTGGTCGAAAAGAATTGAGTACGTGAATTAATCCTAATTTATGTTATATACCAAATCTCGTTTTTCTATCTGAGAAAATAAAGTTATAGGGGTGAGCCACTTTTGAGACGCATCCGGTATAGTACATTAAAAAGCAATTGGCAAAATTCATCTTAATAGTAACTCTTTTCTATGACATTTTAAAAGACGTGGAAAAATAATGATACATTTTCTAATTAAAAAAATTATAATGAATAAACAAGTAATAATTATTTGTTTATTCATAATTTTTTTAAAAATAATTATTACTGGTTTTTATGATGTTTGTTATAGAATAAAAGTACGTTTAAAACTTATTGAAATACTGAGAAGAAAAATCAGGTACAACATGGAATATTAAAATGATGGAAGTTATTATTGATAATAAGTGACTACGTAACAACAGAATAGTAGAGAACTATCTTAAAAGAGTTTTATAATCAAATTGCCATTGATTTTGACAGTTCTAATGTAATTTTCACTTAATAATGCCTTTAAAACGGGGAAAAAATAAAAAAAATTAGGAAAGGAAAACTATATTTTTCTTTAGTATTTCCGAATGTTCAAGATTTTAAAGCAATTAATTTATTAAGTTTTCCGATTTTATACGTTCAAAAATAAACCAAAGCGTTTTAAAATGGTAAAAGTTGGTTCTTAGATATGTATATGACTGTTAAGATAAACTGATATGTTACTTTAGGAATGATCATCGATATTTTTGTATAAAAAATTATATGTTGAATACCATCGATTGTCATTTCTAAGTACCGTGTGATCAAAAAGGTTTTTAACCAAGCGATCTTTCACTTTTGACAGTTAAAAATTCTAATGAAATTTTTATAATAATTGTTTTTTTGTCATCGTACAAGACACGTTTGATCATAAAGCTTTTTGTTCATATTTTATGTATAGTACGTTAAACGTAAAAAAATAGTAACTAACATTCATTGCACATTGCAATGGGGAGCACCCCTCGACACCTGCGAAGCACTATTTGAGGAATTAACAGCCGTTTGATTTGGAAGATAAAAGAAAGATGCAAGAGTTAACTTGCCTTGAGGTTTGCATTGTAGATGCTCCTCTATAAATTGGCAGGGGCACGTCAGAGACGCACAGTGCCGTCCTCCAGTAGCAGGGGGACTAAGTAAGAGACCGCGGACACGGTCTCGGCCCCATCGAGAAACATACCGCAGGTATAACAATGCCGCTCTTTCCTATAAACATGGGAATCCGTAAAAGTGTGAATTTATATTGTGTTAAAAAAGAAACAAAAGTGTACAAATAAATCTAACAGGTACCCTTGCATATCATTACTAATTTATTGCTAATTAATAGATTCCTAATCTGGTCATAAATCGGGACCAGACCGGACAACAATCTCGTCCTTCGTCCATAGATGGCGCTTTATTAGCCATGATGTCCTCGGCATACTGACAAGGACACAGTGCATTCTGTAAGTGCCTTGGGTTGGCTGGGTTTCCCATCACCTCATCGATGGTCCAGTCTAAACGTCTACGAAGAAAATCTTTACCCCATCGTTGAATATAGCGCAGGTAGAGTTGTTCCGCACGACCCTGCCGGTCAAAACAAAGTCTTGGTCAAACAAAAAGTTTCGGCATAGGGCAATATTGGGTGTGTTGTTATTCTGGACTTCTTTTTGTCCATTCCTATTCCCCCTTAATAATTGTAGATGTATTTATTACACTTTTGTTCTTTTTGACAGATATGTACACAAAATTATAGTGAAGGAAGATAAATAGACCATAACTAAAATAACTACACACCAAACTATACCCTGCCAAAGAATAATAAAGAAATGCTATAGCAGTAACTTCCCATTTTAATAAATTAAAGTCAATCAACTGCTAGTAAATATTTGCCTTAATTTATCACTATTTAACATTACATACCCCTCTGGCAACTGAAACCTTGGGCCGGTGTTCATATGTCTAGAAGTGAATAACTATAGCGATCTAGTAAGTCGGAGAGAGCAAAAATGCCAAGTATTTATTATATAAACACTTAATCTGACGCTAGATTTTAAGATTTCATGCGCTTGGGAAAATATTTGCTTCTTTATTTATAAAGCACATCGTATTTTAATGAGCGTATTGATGGTACTCATCGTACACACGAAAATCGGCACCCAAGGCCACAAATTCCGACCCTGTATGTTACATACAACATGATTAAAGAGTTTTAGATTGTAAGTAAGCACTTTAAATGATGATGAACTATTCCAAAGTTCCGCTTAATCATGGAAACTGTCTGATCATCTGATATATATTTTATATAATAAAAATATATATTATGGAATCAATATACAAGGTGTCCCAGGCTGAGCGTGCATTAAAAGTTTCTGGCAGCAACTTCTTATTTTAAATGGGCGCCTCCATTTTTTATTACACTTTTAAATTCTCTGTAAAATTCTATGAATATTGATGTTACACACTTTATACCTAAAATTAACCGTTTTTGAAACAAAAAAAAAATATTTAAAATTTTTGGACGAAAAAAAATACCTGTCAAAAAAAATTGTATAGCCTAAAAGTCAAATTTAGTGATTTTTGTCTCAAAAACGTGTGACCTTTGAATAAGAAGACTAAGGAAGGAGCATAATGCTATCCATGTATTCATGCATGGTGGGCGGAAAAGGCACCATAAAAGCTCTCTAGGGTGGGGATCCTTGACAGTTCTGTTTGACGATTCATTTGACACATTTGAATTTGATTTGAAATTTTGTGGATATGTCAGTCTTTATGGAGCTTATTTTATGTTATTTATTATTTATTCTACTACTGATAGTTGTATAAAGGTAGTAAATCTAGATGGAAATTGTGGCAGAACTTAAATTAACAATGACACTATCGCGATTTATCGAAAAGACTCTAAAATAGTTGGTTGTGTAGCGTGCGGTAGATCTCGGCAAAATTGAGTGAAATAATGGAACAACTTTTCGCTAGTAAGTGACTATATAATATACATACGTGTAGTAAACCGATCATTTATGAAATTCACTTAAATTAACTAAATTATATATTTTTCTTGCATTTTAGCTTTTATTTATTACTTGTCAAAGATTAGATGTCAAAGAATTTAGATACGTTAATTTGACTTACCTGCTTCAGTAGCGTATCGGATGTTTGTGTTAATAAATACTTATTATAACTTATCTATTTTTATTAGAATTATATATTTTTATAACAATTTTAATAACTACCAACATTTATTCACAACGTAAAATAAAACAACAAATTATTGAGTCTACTCCACGTCTACCCTACATTATAGTTTTACATTTTTTAAATAAAATTAGAACGACACTGATAAACCGGAATTTAAGTCGGCCATATTTGAGGCCCATCGCGGTGTGCCTAAGATTTTTGATATGCTCCTTCCTTAGTCTTCTTATTCAAAGCGTGTGACGAATTTTTTTCCCAAAAACGGTTAATGTTAGATATAGAGTGTTAGGTTAAGTTCAAAATTCATAAAATTTTACAGAGAATATAAGTCTGTAATAAAAAATGGGGGCACCCATTTAAAATAAGAATGTTGCTGTCAACTTCCGGTATTTCCGGAAGTGCTGCCATATGTAAAATATTATTAATCGAGATCTCGTTGTGAAACAAGGATGTGCAAAAAATTTCTGATCTAGATATAGTAGTTCTTTAGAAACTTCTAATGCACGCTCAGCCTGGGACACTCTGTATACTGTCGGCACAAGTCTTGAAAATTTTTCGAAAAAAAAAAAATTCTTGAAAAATGCTGTCTTGAAAAAGTGTTGATTACATACATACATACTACATGCGCTTGGGAAGATACTTGCTCTTTGTTCAGTACATCTTATTGTACTGAATACAATGACAGTACTTTTTGTACACACGAAAATCGGCACCTAAAGTAATGTGTTGCAGAAAGCATATAATGGTAATGGTAACTTGGGACAGTGACAGCCTGTCATTTTAATGCGTTAACCCTGTTTAGGTGTCTTGGCCGCCAGAAGAGGAAACTAGATAAGATTAGATTTACGGCAACAGCCCAGTTACATCGAAACACCAGTTCCCGTTTGATCACAGAAGTTAAGCGACGTAAGGCGATACTAGTGGATGGACGGGCGACCGTCTGGAAACTCTGTCGTGGTGTTGTTCCATGGCAAGAGTGTAAAATCTATTGATACACACTGCTCATTCACGCCGGTTTAAGGCCGGATGAGATCGGATATCTCGTGAGTAAGAGTCGATTTAGACATTCGCCAAGTAGGTAGGCCATTGATCATGATATGGCTGAGGACCGCGTTTCGGATTCCGCGTAAACACAGTAGGTCCCGTCCAGATTAGCCCTGTGGCGCTATTCTGTACACGGCATCGACAATCGTCGGTATCGATAAGTTACGATAGCTCTCGGTACGTATTTGTATATAGTAAATATGTGTTAATTGTTGTTGTCATAGTTATCGATCGGCCCTATGACAGGTATCACAAATTTGTACCGATGAGGATCGGCATCTCTACCGTCCCCTTGTTAACCCCACGGTAGAGACACCGATAGACGTCGGTACAAATTTGCTATATGCCCTATTAGTGACAACTAAAAACTATGACAACAACAATTAACACGACGCTCATTGGACGTACGTACCGATAGATGTCGGTATCGGTAAGTTACCGATAGCTATCGGTACGTAAATAGTGATATGGTCAATGAGCGTCGTTAATTATTGTTGTCATATTTTTAGCTGTAATTAATAGGACATATAGCAAATTTGTACCGACGACTATCTCTACCGTGGAGTTAAAAAGGACACGGTAGATATACCGATCCTCGTCGGTACAAATTGCGACATATTATGCCCTATGACCGATTGATAACTATGACAACAATTAACACATTTGTACCATATAAAAAAACTGCCGTAACTTACCGACACCGACGATTGTCGATGCCGTCGGTATCAGTAAGTTACGATAGCTCTCGGTACGTATTTGTATATAGTAAAAATGTGTTATAATAATTGTTGTTGTCATAGTTGACGAGGATGGGTATCTCTATCGTGTCCTTGGTAACCCCAACGGTGGAGATACCGATAGTCGTCGGTACAAGTTTGTTATATGTCCTATTAATGACAGCTAAAACTATGACAACAACAATTAACCAGACGCTCATTGGCCGTACGTACCGATAGCTGTCGATGCCGTGTAAAGAATACCCGTATTGTACCCGTATACCCCTATGGGGCAGCAAAAAGGAGACGTTAATTTAAAATTTACTAGATTAGATTTAGAGGAAACTCGATCCAAGTGGCACAGGACCGAGAAGAGTACAAAGATTTGAGGGAGACCTACGTCCAGCAGTGAACACTTCAGGCTGGTTAATGATAATGAAATAAAATATAGCATTTCTTTTATATTCGGCGGATATTATTATAATATTATATAATTATATGTTCTAAGTCAAAAGCATTTAAACCCACTTTTAGCACAAAAAAATATTCGCCAGTAATTCAAACGGACAAAATACAAGCACACTACAAATACAATCAAACTAACCTGCTTTCTGGAGAGTCGTGTAGTTCTGTTGCCCTGTATAACAATATCATTAGCTGTAATATCCATGCGTTGTTCCCACCCACTTGCAGGGTCTCGTTCTTGCTGGTCAATGGTTGTCTGCAAACGGGCAATGCACGGTGCCGAATCCATAAAGATAAAACAGAGATTCACTTTGTGACATGAGATTTTTCCTCTGTCGTCCAGGGCTAGCACAATTTTGTGTCGAAGAAATTGCTTATTGACTTGAGCCAAGCATCTTAATAAATAAGAAACAAATATTTTCAAATGCTTTTCTTCAAAAAATAACTGCTTTTCTAAATAATAAGTTTTGTTCCCATAGATCTTGCTTTAGAGAGTTAATACAGTGAAATGTAATTGCAAAGATATCAGTTTAGTAGAATAATCTATAGCTCAAAATTATCATTTCAGATTTTCAGTTTTATTAGGATTAAAATGATACTTTTTGTGGCGAGGCTGTATGTCTGACATTACAGGCAAAGCACAAAAAGTAATTTTTACTCCAAATAGAACATGCTATTTTTTTCAAACATTACCAAATAATTTTTTAAACAATTTCCAACGTTGCAACTAATATAAAAAGTTTTAAAAGTAATACCTTGGAAGTAATAATATATCGAAAAATGATGGTTACACTCGTTGAATTTGACACATTATGTCAGTTTAATAATATATTTACGTACTTTTGTGCATATAGGAGTAAAAATGCTTTACTTTTATGCCTTGGCGTTAAAATGACTTTTTTATATTGCAATCACGTCGCAAAAATTAATACTTTTGTGACGCTTGAAAAAAAAACAATAGTATTTATAAGTTTTATAACATGTTTAATTAAATTTGGATAAAAGGAATATTGCTGGTTGCTGTAGATAATTTTCTCAGTAAAAATACTATTACAGTTGATGGTTGGAACCTTTGGTGTTACACAGCAAAATAAAAACACTGCTGAAGAAATGCTAATAATTGCCTGGAATTTGATATCTATAGGAAAAATACGACCACACGCAGATATATTCCTAATGAATCACATCATAGTGTTGAACATAAAATGGCTAGTTTAAATTTCTTAGTTCATAGATTACTTAGTTTCCCACTTTCCAACGAAAGATATGAAATAGAAAGAGATTACATTAGGAATGTAGCTGAGTGTAATGGATATTCTCCTTCACTAGTTGATAAATTAATTAGAAAACGTAGATATAGGTTATTGATTTCTGAAAATTCGACTTTTCAAGTGGAGAAAGATACGTTGAAAGAGAGTTATCCCGTAGTCTAAAAGGAATTTTTAAGAATGTCAATTATAAACTTGTGTATAGTGCTAATAATAAATTACAACAATTATTAGGTAATCCAAAAGATGAAACACCTCCACTGGAAAGGTCGGGTATTTATGAAATTTCTTGTAAAGATTGTAATCAGAAATATGTTGGGCAAACTAGAAGATCAATATTAACTAGATTTAAAGAACATTTAGCTCAGATACGATATGGTAGACCGGATAAATCTTGCGTTGCCGAACATATTGTTGATAAAGAACATTGTATAGATCTTAATAATTTAAAATTAATTAAACAAGTCTCAAATTACAGGCAATTAGATGCATATGAAAGCATCAGAATTAATAAATGTAAAGATAGTATGAACAGAGATAACGGTCCAATTCCTTCAAGTTCTTTGTTCCTACTACTCTAGTGGCAGAAATCTAACTGTTACGCTCAGTGGGCTCTGACTCGGTTGGCTAGATTTTGCCACGCCCACTCGGTGCCCACTGGGCGAGTATATAAAGGCTCAACTTGTAGATTGTACTTTAGTTTATAATCATCTGCTGATGATGCTAACATGGTTAGCGAAACGCGCGTCCAGTGTAAAAGTAAAAGTGTTTTGGTGTATTGTGGTGATTTAATAAAAATACGTAAATAAAAAGGACTTTTTAGGCCAAAAAAGTTGAAAGGACAATTTGTTCCAAAAAGAGTGCCTTTTTCAAAAAAGGACAGGTGGCAACCCTAATGGTACAAATCAGTAATTATTTTAAACGATTAGAAAATTTTTTTATAATTGACATTCTTTTAAATACTTCATATTTTCGTGTGCATAATTTGATGTGGGAAATAACATTTGCATGAGTTGTGTTTTGCATAAACGTGCTTATTTGGTTTCTTTAACTCTGATTTTGAGATTTATCTGGCAATCTTTCAGGCTAAATGAAAACAGTAGTTTTGGGAATTACTCTTTTTTATTTCAAACGATTTTGGCATAAAATAAGTAAATCACCTTGTATTCTCGATTCTCTTAAGCAAGGTAGGCCACACATGGTGGTGTTGCGTACCGAGTAATCTTCGAGTATCGACAAAAATTCTCGAGACATACCGAGGATATGAATAGTCAAGTTAACCAAGCATTTGTCTCTCTCACTCAAGTGACTTCTTAACTAAATAAAACCATTAAATATTTTACAGTAGGTGGCTATGACTTTAAAGTAGGACATAATATATGACATCAACTTTTCATGCAAAAATCCTTGTTGGTATGAAAAAGTAGTACAACAGTGATTAAAAAAAAAGTTGTCAAGTTGACTTAGAAATGACGTAAACAGTTTGTCAAGATGCAGAATTTTTATCAATATAAATTTATAAATTCCCGAAAAAGGTCTGTATAAGGAATTAAAAATATTAAGAATGTTAAAAATATATCGAATCTTAAAAATTTGGAATTAAGATGTTTTGGAATTACCAAAAAATTGCAAGGCTCTTTTGGGAACAAAACTATTGAAAATTAGAGACAAATTGATTTGGATCACTTGATAAAAATTAATAAAAAATGAATTAAAAACAATTTCTGTCCAGTCTATTCAATACTAATTCAAATTATTGAAGTGAAACTTCTTTACGCGTGCTGGGTGTAAAAATTCAAGGCCGTGGCACGACACACGAGAGAAAAAGTGATAAGGACAGATAAGGACTGATTTAAATGAAATTTGGTATGTTGATAGATTGGATTAAGGCCAACTTGACCGTGTACGACACGTGTCACTATGACAGTTAGTTTTGACGTAATAAACGTCAAAAATTGATGTCGTCCGATCGCGACCAAATTTGGAGGGTAGGCTATGCGAGCGACAGTGCACACGGTTCCACCCTGCAAAGTTGGATACGACCGACGCGACGTTTCCTTTGGGGGATGAAGAATTTCATATTGAAGAAAAATGTGGGTCGATTTCGGCATAATTGGGGACGGGCTACAGGATGACGCCCTCGACGTTTCAAACCAAATGGACATAATCATCAGGATTTTTCTTAATTATGGGTCAATTGGAACCAAACTCGGCAAGTGGATAGAGGTACTCGAATGGAGTCTTCAGACGGACAGACGGTCTTTTAATACAAATTATGTGAAAGTGAATTTAATTATTTATTAATTTTTAATTTATTACTTTTTCAACATTCCAAACTACATTTTTTCAAACATGTCCGTCAAACCCTTCAATTTAATAGCTGTTAGTAAGAAGTTTCACTTCAAATATGCGCACATAGTGCACACACAAATTTTTTTAAGGTTTCATAATAATTAATTTTGTAATAAAATTCATGTAAGAATTACAGAAAATTATATCAAATAATTTTCATTTGAAGTGACCCATTTCAATAACCAATTACTTAACATTTCATTACCTCTCTAAGTTTCTTTGCAATTTAAATTTTAAGTACATAGATAAAAATATTGCTCCTGCATTTAATATCAACCATCCAATACCTAAACCAAATAAAGTGCCTCCGTTGCTACCGGAGAATAATAAACTAAGTAGCACAATAAAGGCTAAGGTAATCCAAACTACCAATATTCGCTTGTAGCAAACATTATATAATGTGAAGCGAACATCATTGACTAAGAGTTCCATTGCTTGAACATATTCTTCTACAGTAAGCTGCAAATTACAAGATATTTAAAACATTATTATTAGAAAAAACAGTACCTAACACATTTAGCGCAGGAAATTGCAACGCAATTTGTTTTTATCTAAGGCATTGTAAATTATTTTTATCAATGTCATGCATTCCATAATTGAGTATAATAGCTTCCATGACTAACATATTAATCAAATTTAAACTTTTATTTACCTACATTCTTTAATGGATGTATAGGGTGTTTAAATACCATACAAATATTGATTTTAGAGACCGGTTTAAATTATGAAAGTTTTAAGGTTTTGTGTTCAACATAATTTTCAAATACTAATTTAATAATTTTACAAAAACTAATTTTCAAAAATAACAAAAAAACAATCGAACTGTCAAATTTTGACATAAGCTGTTGAAGTAGTAGTTGAATACTCTAGTTAAATAACCAATTTTTATCTGTTCATTGATATTTCTGTTGACATATTTTTCTTAATTTCAAATGCCAATCAATATCCATTGTCACTTTAAAATTGTTATCAACACCGTACAGTACATACAGTACCAACAAACGTTATACCATATGATCGAGAAAAAAACGACGTCCAGTTGGCTTGGAAATGACGATCGATGACTTTAATTAATGACCCTTTAATTTTATTTTATAAAATGACAGCGATTTCATAGCCACCGCTGACGTCGTTTTTTGATTATGTTGTATTTTTAAAATGAATAAAAATTGTCAATTCAATTGAAGAATCAGATATAGGGCTATTCCTCACAGGTATATTAAAAAAATGTATAAAAAAACTTATGTGGCAATTGACACAAAACTCTAATATTTCAAAATTTAAACTTTTGTTTAAACCCAGTATTTAAAGAGACAGCTATTGGCTAATATACTGGGTGCGTCTCAAAAGTGGCTCACCCCTATATAACTATCTTATTTTTTCAGTTAAAAAACGAGATTTGGCATGTTAGTATATGACATAAATTAGGATTGATTGACATATTCAATTGTTTTTGGTCACTTCCTGTTTCAGCGGAAATGACTAAAACTTTTGATTTTTAAATGGCACTCTCAGTATTTTTTACATTATTCGATAGAAAATAACACCCTTAATAGAGTGACATATCATATGTCAACTTTTGACATTTTCGCATATGGTTTATTTGAAATTATAATTTGCGGTTTGTAATGAAAATTTCACTCGAAATACCAAGTGTGTATCAAATTATTCATAAAAAAAATGCTTTTCCAAATATGCTAATGAGCCACCCTCATTCCATTTGAAAAAATTGAGATATGATTAAAAATACGATTTGGGCATTTTCTAACTGGCCAGGACAAGATACTAAAAACTTTAGACAATCAAATCTATTTTTCCAAGGTTCCTTGATTAAGAATTAGTATTTCTAACATAGCCATGGCACTCTAGATTGAAATTTAAAATTTAAAATACATTTTTTTATTAAGCAAGAATGTCAAAAGTTGACATATGATATGTCATTCTATTCAGAATGTCATTTTCTATCAAATAAAGTAAAAAAAAATATCAAGGGTGCCATTTAAAAATCAAAAGTTGTAGTCATTTCTGGTGAAACAGGAAGTGACCAAAAACAATTGAATACGTCATTCAATCCTAATTTATGTCAGATACTAGCATACCAAATCTCGTTTTTTATCTGAAAAAATAAAAGTTATAGGGATGAGCCACTTTTGAGAAGCACCTGGTATATTTATATATGGGATCACCCTGCACTCTGTGCATATAAAAATAACTTTCTACTCACTGTTAAACCTTGTGCCATTAATTCTTCTGGTACTAATTCTGGTCTGAATACAGCTGGTGTAATCCATGGAAATCGCGAATTTACTGGCAAAAGAGTCACTATAACATCCCCATTTACTAAAAAAATATTTTGTATTAAACTCTCTTTCGATGTTCAGTAGATATGCTTACAAAATCCTTGTCTAATTGGTTCGACTGTGGCTACTGGTAACTCAATGTTTCTTAAGGGTTTAGGATCCAACACAGCAAGATTATTGCTCGTATTTTCAGTAACAGATTTATTCAAACTTCTTTCTAAGTTAACTTGTACACTTTCCGTTGAAATAATTGCAGGGGAATCGTCTATTTTTTGTTTAGCATTGTCTGAAGATGGATCTACACTCAATTTGGTCTGAGGTTCTACATTATCCGAATTTGTCTTTGGTTCAGTTTCATCATCAAAGGTGACCCAACTTTTAGAAGGGGTTGGCTGTGGAATTGGAGCAACACTATTTCCATGGCCTTCTTCGACTTGCTTAGATTTATCATCACTCATTTTCTCAGTTGCGTTACGGATTCGTCAAATAAATTGCATATTTAGAAAAAAAATATTTACCTTTTTTACCGGTTAAACATATACATAATGCGAAGAATTTCGACTTGTTAACTGCACACTGCACAATATTAACCCTTCCACTTACTACCTGTAATCTTGCATTCACGAATCAAAAATTGGGCAGGTGAGCTGGCAATTTCCATTATTTTCAAATGTTTTCTACCTTTTCTAACCGGTCAGATGACACACCTGCGAATAATTAATTAGAACAGAGTCGGTGTAGCCATGATACACCTCCTTAATTATTTTTTAAATACTCGACTTCAAATAAATTACCGTTATGCTAAGTAATGTATAACAATATAATAAAAACAGAGACCGTACTATACTTAAAATACTCATTAAAAAAATATTACCAATAACACCTCATAATATACAATACACCACAAAATCTTTGCACAAAATTCAAAATTATTTATATTTTTGTATACAGAAGATTTTAATTAAGCTTGAAATACGGACCTGTTTTTGAGAACATACCACAGATTATACATATATAATCCATTGGTATTTGTCACTGTCATTGTCAATGTTAGCAATTGTCTTCTTGTCAACCATTTGTCAACATATTTTCAACATCAACAATTTTCGATTGTGGTCATTTGTTGACAATTTGCTTTAACTTCTGGTGAAAAATGGTATGAAAATCGTAAAATACTTGTGGCTTTAGACAATAACAATTATTTTTAGTCGATTCAAGATAAAATATCCGCCTTAATGGCTAGGCCTGGTCAAGATCTTGTCGCGAAAGATGACGTACCTTGGTGGTTGAAAACGGCTGGTCGAGGGGTAGGAACAGTCGGTGGATTTAGTAAGTATATACCCAATTTTTAATATAGTAATTTGGGTAGGTATATTTTTAATCATTAATTATTATTTTTAACAGCTGTTTAATTGATTAATCATTATTCAACATTATTAAAATAAGTTCTAAAAGAATACAATTAAAAACAAATTACCATTTTTTCAGTTGCCGCTTTACTTGGCATATGGAATTGTGTGTCGATACTCACAGGCAATGTTTCAGGATTAATTGCAGGGATGTGGCAAATTGTTGCCAGTTTTATTGTACTCTGCGTTGAGGCCCCTTGCTGCTGTATGTTTATTGATCAAGTACAAAGGTTTAGTGATATGGTGGATAACAGACCATATTGGAATCGAGCATTGGGATATGTTATGTAGGAAATAAGATTTCTTTGTTACAATTTTATTACTAATTCGTGAATTATTTCAGATTGGCCATACCCCCAGTTATATTGGATTTTGCCTTTTCGACCTTTTTTGGAAGTGGATTAATATTTGCCACTGGTATTATTTATGGTATGATGGCTCTGGGTAGAAAGTAAGTAAAATTTTTAGATTTATCTCAATGGGATTAAATATACCTATTGTGACTAATACAAATCGTGTTAAAATAAAATAAGATAAGAGGATTAGTATATATTAATAGGGGTTATCATTATAAACCTCTTGTCAACATTTTGCTCTCTATTATATTATTAACAAATGTCTCACAATGGAATATAAGAAGTGGAATCTTAAGCTTGTAATTTCCTGGAAACTTGGCTTTTCTTTGTCTTAATTTAACATGTTTGTTAATCTTACTAACCAAGGGCATCAAGAGAGGATATGGCCGCTGTAGCCTCTCCACAAATGGCAACTTCACCATCTGGTATGCAAGGTGATCACCAGAGGGCTACTTTGATGGAAGATCCTGATGTGTGGCGTCCATCATAAACTGGAAACACACTGGCCTATTAATCTCAGCGTATGATAACACTTGCTTATATTGCTTGCTGATTTTTTGCTTTTTTTACGCATGAAATGTAGCAACATAGTTTTTTTTAATTCTTAGTAGTATCTGTTATATAAACTTGTTTTTTGATTAACTTGTATAAAGTTAATTTCTTCTACAGTATGTCCCCGGGTTGTCTTTACAAGATGAAAAACTTTTTTATTATTGACATATTGAGGAGAATGCTTTCTTCATAAAAATGTTTGCTTGGAAAATAATGGTTAATCCCATTTACACTTTTCCAAATTTCTATACCGTTTTAGAGAAAATTTGAAAAAAAAACATAAAAATATAGTTGATTGTTTCAAGAGAAGTCCTAAAAATATAAAAACCTTTTCTATGGTAATATAGTTTCGATTTCATTTACAATTTCATTCTTTGATAGATTGTTATTGTTAGAATTTTACTTAACGTCATGTTTTTGCTGTTTTAAAATGTTAAAAAAGCAGAAAATTTATTTAGTTCAATGCTATGGAAAGGGTGAAATTAGTTATTAGAAAACACAAAACATCCCCCTTTAGAATTTCGTCTGTCATATTAAGAAATGACAGTAAATAATAAAGCGCCTCTCGTGTTTGTTCGCACACAAAAAATTTCAATTTAATGCCTGTATATATTTTTAATATATTTTTTAAATTTACATTTTTTTAATTGTAAAGTAATATATTACATTTAAATTCAATATATTACATAACAATTATGTCAATTACAGGATTACAAGCTTGTTTTCTAACATTTTTTAAATAAAACGAATTATAAAATTTCAATATATGTATATTTGTCGTAGGTATGAAAAAATTAAAATATAAAATGGACAAACATTGCAATAAAACTTCCACTTTTAGTTTTGCAATATTTCTATTTCACAAATAAAAATATCCGACAACACTAAAATCACTGAAACTTCCGCGGCTGCCAACGAAAGCTGAAAAATATAATGGCACTTTTTGTTTTGGACCTGCATATCAACATTACGCGGTACCATTATGTTTTTGTTTTTGAAATAATATAAAATATCTAATTATAACTTGTAAATTTTAATATTTTAACATGATTTTAACTATTTCTGATAATAACTAACTTTTTGTTATCAAGATGACATTTTAGACGGCAACTGACATATATGTCATAATATTTGAATTTTAAATATGTATGTAATATAATTTAAATTAATATAATGCAACTTTATACTAAGAAAACATTTATATATTCACAAAATACAACAAAGTCTAATAATATAGTTTGAAAACAAACAATATTGAAATAAAATTAAAATTAAAAAAGTTAAGCATTTGATGACCGGTGGCGTGTCTAGTATTTGTTCGGGCAGTTGGTCTTTTACTCCCGCTTATGGCCATTAAAGAAAGAGTTCTAAAGGGGGATGTTTTGTGTTAGAAAATGTAATACTTTAACAACAGCAAAAATATGACGTTAATCAATATTCAATAACTTGATAATAACTTTAATCTATCAAAGAATGAAATCGAAATTATATTACCATAGAAACGCGTTCTAATTTTTAGGACTTAGAAACAATCAACTATATTTTTATGTCTTTTTTTAATTTTTCTGGTAACGGTATGGAAATTCGGAAAAGTACAAACGGGATTAACCATTTTAGAACAAGTAATTTTTTTTATGAAAAATGCATTGTTCTCAAAATGTCAATAATAAAAAAGTTTTTTTTTCTTGTAAAGACAATCCGGGGACATACTGTATAATAGATACATAGTTTTATATTTAATTGTTCAAAATTAATGGTATTTTTTTTCTAAAAAATCCTATGGGTATTTCGGCACTCACTGTAGGAAAATTTCCAAAATAAAATAGTTATTTTTTGTAAACACTGCTGGGCGTTAATCCAAGGGAGATCAGCTTGTCAGCAGTGATTTACTAATAAACAAGCAAATTTGCCTAACGGACAAAAAATTGCTTAACGTTTTGGGAAGTATATCATTTCCCGTCGTCGGAAGCAAAAAAACACAAAGAACAAAGAAAAAAACTATTTAAATATCTAAATACAACTATTCAAGAACACTTTAGTTTTTTTTTCAACAGAAACGGTCTATAAAAACCGCTGAAAAAATTGAATATTTTATTTTGCTTGGATAGATTGTATGTGTATGACGTTTATTCAATTTTTACTTTTAATACAACATTTTTAATCCTTACTAATATTATAAAAGGTTTGTTTGGATGTATAGATCTTTGTTAAGCCTTGTTCATGTAGACGCGAATCGCGATTTTGCGAAACTGCTCTCATTGGTTCAATTTTACTGATCATGGCGGCGCTGTCAGAAATTTTAAGATTTTGGCGATTCGCAAGATTTAAAATTTGAGGGGCGGGAAAGTTAAAGTGTTTCCAACTTTTTAATTTTAATGTTTGCGCAGAATGGTAGTGTGATCCGGTTATCGATTATTTTGACGACGCTGCTACAAAGTAACTGAAACCATTTCTCCAGTTGAAATGGGTTCTCGTGCATAATATGTTTTTGATATATGATTTTGATATGGTGACAATTTTTCAACCAAGTTATCAAACACCTGTACAGACAATCTGTGAAAATTCCTAAATTTTTTCTCATCTTTTGTCCTCATTTCTTGAATTAAATTGCGATAAGCACCTTGTTGCTTACGAAATTTAAATATTTCACATGTCCCAAATGACCCATAAATGATCTATAAACCTGTGCTATAAACCCCGTAAACCCGTTCTCTTCTACGTTTTAACAATAAGTAAATGGCAATTTTGCGCCTTATTCTGTTTCGATCCCACAATCGTCTATGATCGGTCTAGGCCGTTACCAGTTACATCTGCTCGCGACAGAAGAAACCGCGACTCTAGGAGCGCGACGTCTGGAGCGGAACAGATCGCTGTCGATGTCGCGCGTCGCTACATAGTTTCCAGTTACTACTGTTCGCGACTGACGAAATCGCGACGGCTGGAGCGAAACACGTCGGTAAGCGATTACTGCAGTTCGAGCTAACTCCAAGAGCGATTATAAATAATTTATAGTTCCGTAGTTATAATGATCGTCGTTCTTCAAGCAGTAACGAGTTCCCGATTCGTTGTAGAGCGCGACACGATGTTACAAAAAATACCGCTCCAAAACCGCGTTACCGTCGTTTGGGATGAAATAGCCGAGATTTGGTATTTGTGTAAAATTTTATTTTTGTAAATAAGTTTTTTCGGTAGATGTTAGTGATGGGAACAACACCAAATAATCAGAAAATTTGAAAAAATATATTAAAGGCCTGGAACGAACAAAATGTCCTGAACAATCTTATACTACGTGTGGGGTGTGATTGATCACGTTTTATTTAATGCATTGAATAAGTGTATACCTACATAGAGTGATTAATCTAACCCCTGTCTATTTTAAAGTCATGGTTTAAATTTTAACGGTTTTTTTAGCATTTGGGGTGAGATTGTTTGGTGCGGGTGAGAATGATCAATGAAAAATAATGCTGCGATGTAAAAAATACAAGATTAGACTTTCAGACTAAATATTTATTTTCTGAATCAAAAACAAGAAAGAAATACCAACAGTTCATTCTTGTTTTACCACAATTGTTCACGGGGTGAGATTGATCATTCAATGATCAATCTCGTCCATACTAAGTAATATAAGTAATCGCCCATACTGATTAATCTGACCCCTTCGAACACATTAAGGTATAACCTCATAATTTACGATCGAAAATAACTAAATTTCCGAATATGACTTGCAGAAACATTAACAAATAGCACCATGTAATCAGTGTGTCCGTTACTATATCACAATTTGACTTACCAATCAAAGTTCTAGAAGTTGTAAATGAAAGCAAAAACAGTTAAACAATTTGAATATATTTTTTAGACAAAAAAACAGCGATTTAACGACGTGACCTGTTACCATTCCCTTCGGTCATGTTTCTACTAAACACACTTGGCGGTTTAACATTAAACGAACCAACGATTCGCTCACTACATTTGAATTAATAAAAATGCAACCTAGTGATCAGTCTCACCCCCGGAGAATTTCACCCCAAACGACGGTACTCAAATACCGACACATCACTAGTACCTGTACAAAAATGTAAGACGCGACAATCTGGATTTTTCATTAATCTGGATTAACCCTTTATTCTGATTAGTTTTAATGGAGCCGGATTATCGAGTCTCTACTGTATTTGTTGATAGTTTTGCCTGACATAAAAATAAAAAAAGTAAGTTCCTAAAATAAAATTCTGAAAACTGCTATAAGAAATCTAATTTTTAATTTAAATGAAAGACAACAATTGTCATTGTCATTCTTTTACTGGAGAGCTTATACTTTTTTACAAACTTTAAACTACGTTTACGAACAACACCAACAACGCCCGGTCCGTAAGAAACATTAAAAAAAACTAATTTTGAGAAACATTTATTTTACAGAATCACAAAATGAACAATGATATATGTTTTTTAATATTAAAAAATAATAAATTTTATAAAAATGATTGTATACAGGGTGGTCTGAACGGCATTCGGGCAATTTCGAGAGCATATTCTGCAGATAAAAAGAAGAGAAAGTTCGTATAAATCTATGTCCTCAAATGAGTCGTTTTGGAAAGACAGGGTGTAGCGTAAAAATGAAACTTACTGTGTAAAAATGAAACTTACTGTGTAAGTTTCATTTTTATTTCGGGGTTTTCCAAATAATTTATGAACTATAGGCGATATTTTGATAGAAATTGGTGTCTGGGAGTTTTTTCACGTGAGAAATTTGATTTCGATATCAATATGATTCCTACTTGTAGGTGGTACATACAGGTTCTGTAACTGTTTTGAAGAGTAATAACTTTTCGTTCGTACCTGTATAAAACTACTCAGTGAAAAATATACATTTCCGTCATTTTCTACATAAAAAAGCTACCTTGGTAAAAATCGCTACAAGTAATCGTTCTCAAGATATTTGAAATGGAAATAGTCACTACATGTCGTTATTGACAAAAAATAAACATGTTGACTAGATAGATATTTGACTAAAATGATAAATTTCGGATCTTTTTATTTTTTTACTCTAATAATATTTTTTAGACAAAATTATGATAAATCAGTTTTCTTCTCAGTTGAACTTTTAGCGCAAAAACATTGCAAATTTATTATTTGAGTCTAATAATCTAGTTAACCTGTACAATTTTCGTCAATGATGACATGTATTGACTATTTCTGTTCCAAATATCTTGGGTATCATTATTCGTGGCGGTTTTTACAAAGAGATCTTTTTTACGTAAAATATGACAGAAATTTATATATATTTTTACTCAGTAGCTTTATACAGGTACGAAACGTTATTACCCTTCAAAACAGTTAAAAAACATATAGGTGGCGCCCTTATAAGTATGAGTTATTAATTCAAATTTCTCATGCCAAAAAACTCCCAGACGCCAATTTTCATCCAAATATCGACTATAGATCAGAAATTATTTGGAAAACCCCGAAATACAAATGGAACTTCTGTACCCTGTATTTCAGAAACGAAGCATTTTAGGACATAAATTTATACGAACCTTTTTACTTATTTTAAGCCTGCAGAATACGCTGCCGAAGTTTCCCGAATACAATACGGATCGCTAGAGGTGGGCGAAGACTGAACGAGTCGTTCATTTAGACGAGTATTAAAAATGAATCGTGTGATTTGATATACTGCTTAGAATACGATTCGTTCAACTGAATCGTGGCCAGCATGGTGTTGTATTATTGTTAAACCAGGAATAGAGGCAAAACTCTTTTATTGTAAAACGGCAGACACTATAAACAAAAACTACAATTACAGATTATTATTACCGTTGTCACGGCATATACACAAAAAGTCGTGAGAATTGATTCATTGCTTACAATACGGTTCGTTCAATTGAATTGTGTTTGTGGCCTGCACGGATCCATAAAATTTGAACGATGAACCGTAAAAAAGAGTCGTAAGAACTGAATCGGATCACAATGCTATCGTTCGTTTCTACGGCGCGACGCGGTGGTGATATGCATAGAGAGAGTCGGGCACCAATCTTTAGACTTGAACAAAAGCCCTAAACAAACATCATGGGCATAAAATGCAAGCGATAAGTAAGTTATTTACAAGAAAAACACTTATTTATACTGTGCTTAGTACGGGAGTATCTGTAATGCGTTTAATTTTCACGTTAATAGTTTTGTTAAAATAATATTTACCGACTATAAACCATTAAACGTCGGACTAAAAGACGACTCGTGTTTTTATACAACTCTAAATAAATATTTTGCCTCTGCTCAATAATAATATTAAATTGGTATTAAGAAGTCTTTAATAAATAGCATATATAAATTGGATTGATAATTTAATATTATTGGTAAAATAATCAGTCCTGTTACGTCAGCGCCATAAAGTGATGAAAAACAAATGAAAGAACTGTATTTTTCTTTTTCTGGTCCCTTAAGTAATTGTCCCATCAAATTATCGACGGTAGTGCCAGTTACGATTGTTGTTTTTAAGAAAGGTATATAGTGCATGTGTGGTTCGTTCAAATGAACGAATCGTGGGAGTCGATTCAATATGAGAAATTGAATTGTGTTATTCGATAATTTTTATACGAAATTCTGGAAAAGGAATTAGCATGTAATACTGATTTGTTTGATTGTGCATGAACACAAGACAACTTATACTATTTTGTAATTATTTCACATAATTTTTATATTGTTTTTAATCCTTGACATAAGGTCTGCTTGTAGAAACTTATGTATTGTTTGTAGCTCCTGAACAACCCAAATTATGACTTAGATATATAGTCCTATACTAGTAGCTGAAATCCTATTTTATTTTATGAAAGAAATTTGCGTATAGACAGAACTTTTCTTCTTAATATTTACTCATTTTTCCACAGGGCCTCTGCTGAAGAGATGCGCCAAGCAGCAGCCGCCGCTGAGAGCCGTCAATCTACCACTCCAGCACCCTCTGCTAATATGCGAGCTAACTTGGTTACCAACGCTCAGCCGATTGGTTTTTCTGGCGCACCAGTATTCGATAGCAACGTTTGAAGGATTCTCCGCTTTCATTCAACATTTATATCCTTTAAACCCGAACAACCACGAATTAGTTCCTTATCTGAGAGTCATCGTGAGCAATTATTTATTTTATCTCGAGTCGAACCAACGTACAGTCAGCTTATAAGGCCTAATTTATAATTGGACTTCTAATGTTGTTATTGGATCAAAAGGATTCTAACTTCAGTAGAAATTTAAGAGGGACTGTTTTAATATCTATAACATAGGTTATGAGTTTATGGCTTTTGTCTATATGAACATATCTACAACAGATTAATTTGAAGTACTTCCAATATTGTTTTTATTTGCAAATTTATTAATTATTTTTACCGTTAGACTGTTTAGGAAGTCATATATTACAAGTACTTTATAATGAGATTAAGTAAACAATGCCAAATATTTTGTCTTTTTAGTTGTAGTCATTTATATTGTATAATGTGGAGAACGTGATACAGACTTGTGAGATTTATATTGTATATTTATATTGATTGAAGGCTGATTTGCAACTGCTTATTTTTGACATATTTATTCCATATAAATACGCATTCCAATATATTTTTAAGCTAGGAGGGAATGAATATTAGATGAATAATGGGATATTTAAAATTGTTGGTATCAGGGTCGGATTATTCATATTGGGGTGTCTAGGCAATTTATGTCTTGGGTCCCTTTACCTTTTCCTAACTTTTTACTACTTACTATTTATTGAAATATATATTTCTATCACAACACAATTTTATTCATAATGATACTGTTTTAATTACATTGTGAGGGTCCCATAGGTCACCAGTCCCCAACCCCATCTGGGAACCCTATATATGTATAATTTGATCCTGATTGGCATGAGTTGAGATTTATAATTTATTGTCGTACTAATGTTCTTATCTTACAAGGAAAATATTGAATAATTAAATTATTTTATTACATCTTCTATACTTGCATTCGCCATTTTATAATACCGTTTTTTATTTGAATGTTTCTTAATCTATGAATATCATGGCAAATAATTATTTGTATCACTTTTCAGATATTATATCTTATATATGATTTTTATTAGATATGTTTCACAGAGGTCAAGTTTTAGCAGAGAGGTAAATGTTTTTGAACATACCTGTAACAATTTATTTGTACACATTTTTATAGATACTCAGAGGTTTAAGTTTCAGTTTTAACATAGTATATCAAAAAGTGGTATGGTCAAGTTTGCTTTGAATTATAAAAAAAAATAATTCTTGTGTTAAATTGCATTAGAATTCTTTTATTTGTCAAAGTTATAGCTATCTTGATTATAGAACTTTTTGATGGTATCGTATGTTTTACTTTTTTGTAGTTGCTTGGTAAATTTATATAAACTTCAATTCATATAATATAAACATACCTATTGATAGTTATTATTTAAAAATGAGAACATATTATTAGACAGACAAAAAATAATTTTGGAACTACGTGTAATTGGTACTAGTGTTTTAAAATTTTGATAGATTATATTTAAATTTTGTTGCAACTGTTTTAATCAATGTAACAAAGAAATTATAATGTTAATAGCAAAGGAATAGAACGGGATATCATCTTTTTAATTATAGCATTCGTTTTTGTTATGTTTTTGTATACCTATAACATACATACTACAGTCTGACAAACCGATCTGAAACAACGGGGCAACAGTAAGGGGATCGCAGTTTTCTAAAAATATGGCCGACCTCATTCATAAAATATCCGGAAGCGTGCGGAGTTTTATGAAAATATATCAAGAATTTTTATCATATTTTCCAGTAAAATTTATAATATTATTTTACTTTAAATGTAGCTACATCTTGTTTACTGATTTGCTAAATATAGTAATATTTGTTAAAACACGTGTAGTAATTATAATAGACAAATCACTTTAAAGGTATAAACTACAATACAATAACACCCGCCACTGGCTTTTTCAATACTAGTCAATATTCTAGGGAGGGGCCTAAAATTTGGCAAAATACCAACGTGCAGGCATTTCTACCAATCAGGTTGGTTGAATTCGGGATGCCATGATGAATTTTGTCAACGTTGCCGGCTTGCTTTAAATGGACGATATCTTTAGGACATATTTACCATTATTTATAATAGGGTCAATGAAGTAAATCAATTATTTAGATAAATATACATCTAACAATAAGAACTTCTTTAAGATAAGTATTTTATATGGATGTATATAATTATGTATGCTGAAATGAACTAAAAATATATTTGATGTATAGGTAATATCGAGCAATTTTGCTTTTCTACTATTAAACGTAAGAACATCGATTTTTTTGCTTCTGTTGTATTAGATCCGTTTGTCATATGACATCTACAAGAATATTTTAGGCTTAATATCTACATAAGGCTCGTTATTGTTATTTTTCATTAGATTTGATGGCTTTAGGGCAAAAACATGGTAAGCGCCATTTTACTAATTTTACAGGAGAGCAGTGGGCGGCTGGTTGTTATCAGGTTCTTTCCCTGTCTTCTATATTTTTATTAGGCAGGGAGCAGTTGACATATTATAATATTGTAAAACCCTAAAACTAAGAAATTTGTGCTTATCATGTTTTTCCCCTGGACACTTCATTTTGGAGAGGGCTATTTAAAGTTTGGTTGAACCAGTGGCGGCTCGTCAGGGTAGGCAAGGTAGGCGGCGCTTACCCTAAAATTTTGGCAGAAATTAAGCGGTTTATTATATTACATTATTTACTGTTAATGTTGCCAATACATAAAAATACTGTTAATACACGGAAGTGTGTTGTAATAATCAATATTATTTTGTGGTCTTGTATATTAAAATATTCACTACCGCTTGTGTACGCTGACTATACCGTTGCGTTAGAAAAAAAAATAATTTTGACCGTTGGAGTGCCTTTGTTCGGCGATTTCTACATCGCCTACTATCAGAGTCGATGCACGACGTGCGGCAGTCTTCTGTCTCTGTCTACCTCATCGTACGGTAGCGATGGACCGTAAGTCGGAGTTGTATCGTATTAAGGCGGGGCTTAGGCGAAATCTCCTGTCGCCTTCGCATGAAGTCGTGGAGGCTCGGTAGGCTCAGAAGTTAAGGGGATATTCCCGATATTTCATAAGGGGATATATCGCATTTCGTTAAGGGGATATTTCATATGATCATTATACATAGCATTTAAAACTTTTATATGAAAATTCAAAAAACGTTTAAAACAAATTTGAAACGTTATTCAAAATGAAATAACCGATTGTATTTCAAAACACGCCACAGAAATAAAAGAATCCGAAATAAAAGAGCGCGTTAGTTTATTCGGTGCAAGAAGAACGATACAACAGATATTACAGAAAAGTCTCAGTGTGGTAATTCAATTCGATATGTTAATAAATGTTATTTTATGAAATATTAGATAACATGGTTATTCATTTAGAAAGAAGGTTGCAGATAGGTACTCGTATGTCTCAATTATTTTTATTTATCCTAATAAATCCGAAATTTAAAGAATCCTATAAAAAAATTTCCAACGCATTTAATATTGATTAACAAACAAAAAATGTTATTGACCAACATAAATTAATGAATAAGTTGCAGGTATAATAGATATGATAATTTCGATTATACAATAATTTAAGGAGAATAATCCTGGAAATATATTTGCAGAGGCTTTCAAATCGTTTGTTTTGATTGTTACTACACCATTTACAAGTACTTGGGTTGAAAGACATTTTGCATGTTTGAAATGCATTAAAATTTATTGTAGAGATTCCATGAAAAATAAACGTTTATCAACACTCGCCTTATTTTCAATCTAAAAAGATCTTTTCACAGCCCTTCAACAATCTGATTAATTTACTGATATAATATTAAATAACTTTTCTTTATCAAGAGACCGACTTATCAATTTTTTATATAAAACATAATTATTCTTTTTCTCAACACTACCAATTTTTTAAGTTTGCGTAAATAAAAATAAAATAAAATTCTATGATGTACTCCATAGTAACTCCATAGTAATAGATGAAAAAAAACGTATACTTGTACATTATGTCATTACCTTGAATGTTGTCATTTGTTTAACCCAGAGATAACATATATCTACGAACTGGGTTAGGGTATTATGAAAATTTAGGAGGGGGGGGGACAAATAGACGGAACTAAAATTTTGTCGCCTACCCAGTCACACGAGTCACGAGCCGCCACTGGGTTGAACTAAGGTAGCTTTACTTTGTGTTTAAGTTATAGTGATACTGATTACTAGTTTTAGCGAAACTGATTTATTTCGGGAACTCTACTTTTAGTCAATTTTTTAAGTATTTAAAGAGTTGGTGTGTCAAACGCAGCTTTTTCTAGTCGGCTTTCGGGTGTAATATCTGATTACATTTCGTATTATTTAGCTCAGACTGGTTCATATTCTTTTAAATTAGTTTTAACGTCGTTAATAGAAAATATAAATCGTGCATTGTGTATTAGACTATACTGACATAAAATAAAATACTTTTAAGTTTTTCTCCTATGTCAGTGTTGTAGTTAGTCAAGGTAGTATAATATAAATTATCTAATATATTCCATTTTATAATTGATTTTAATTCAATATATTGAATTAAAATATTGAAGGAATTTTAGTTTGGATCTCTATAGGTTTTTATTTATGGAATGTACTTACTTTTTGAATTCTTTGTCTGTTCTTAATTGTCATGGTAACTAAATTATACAGGTTGAGTTTCCTACGATGTTCTCTATGGGTGTCTCGGAAACTACTGGAGATATAGAGTCGGTTAAATGGGGAAAGAATAGCAGTTTTGTGGGATCATAAATATTCGCCTTTCAGATTTTTGAAAAAGTTCATGGCTTACTAGATATTTCGAAAAAAAAAACAAATTTCGGCTATTTTAAAAATTGTCACTAATTCCATTAAAAGCTATTTTAGACAAAAAGTTTTCAGATAAAAGTTGTAGATAATCACATCCTTAATGAGACCGTGTCCTCCGTTTTTTTCTAAAGCCTGTCATTTTTGATATATGACACAAACATGTGTTTTTTTAAATGGAAACCATAGTTGGCCATGACTTCATAAGAAGCGCAATTTTTTAAGTTTTTTTTTAGTGATATAAGCTGTAATATCTTTTCTTCGAAAAATTACTGAGTTATAGCCAATTCTTATCATTTTTAAACAATTTCACTTAGTTAGCCATGGAAACAAGTTCAATCGCCGTTGCTCTCAGAAATGTTAAGCTGTCACATCCAAACTTTGTAAATTATAATAAACAAAAATTGTAAATATGAATGTTTTCAAATGAAGAAAGGCGTGTAGATACTCGCGCATCAATAGAGTGGTTCCAACATGACTTTCAGAATGACACACCACCCCCCACCCTTCATAATGAAGGAAATTTTAAGAATTATTTATATCATAATTATATAAACGCAGGGATAGGGAGAGGTGGACTAATTGCATGGGCCTCCTCGATCACCTGAATTTTTTATGCGGTATAGTTAACAATAAGGGTTTACAAAAGAATTTATGAATTAAGAGAGGCACTCGAAGTGGCGGCACGAGAAAAGTTTAATTAAGTCGACCGGTTTTTGAAAATTTTCTAAAATAACTTAAAGTGTATGTAGTGATATTATTATTTTAAGTTTTAGTTTGTGTAATGTAAATTGTAAAGAACCGTTTAGTAATATATTCTGACTTTTTACAAGTTATAAATCATAACAGAATTAGAATACCATGCAATCTAAGTGAAATTAGTCAAGAAAGATAAGAATTGGCTATAATTAAATTTAACTTTTCTAGCATGTCTTGAAAACCGTTCTCTAAAAAACGTAACATTCACCGGTCAACGTATCCTCGAAAATGTATGGCCAAGAAAGGTTGAACCAATAATCCTACACGCTTTTCTTCATTTGAAAAATTCATATTTACAGTTTTTGTTTATTTTAATTTACAAAGATTGGATGTGACAGCTTCACATTTATGAGAGCAAAGACGATTAAACATGTTTTCATGGCTAACTAAGTGAAATTGTTTAAAAATGATAAGAATTGGCTATAACTCTGTAATTTTTCGAAGAAAACATATTATAGCTTATATCGCTAAAAAGCTTAAAAAATGGCGCTTTTTATGAAGTCATGGCCAACTATGGTTTCGATTTAAAAAAAGATATGTTTATGTCATATATCAATTATGACAGGCTTTAGAAAAAAAACGGAGTACACGGTCTCATTAAGGATGTGATTATCTACAACTTTTATCTGAAAACTTTTTGTCTAAAATAGCTTATAATGGAATTAGAGACAATTTTTAAAATAGCCGAAATTTGATTTTTTCGAAATATCTAGTAAGCCATGAACTTTTTCAAAAATCTGAAAGGCGAATATTTATGACCCCACAAAACTGCAATTCTTTCCCCATTTAACCGACTCTCTATCTCCAGTAGTTTCCGAGATACCCATAGAGAACATCGTAAGAAACTCACCCTGTATATTATTCTAGTTAAATTGATTTATTGGATAAGGCAGACCAAATTTGATGAGATTAGCGTATCAAGAGAAATTCAATGAGTATGTACATTTAAGCTTATTTCGATTAAAAGACATTCAAATTATACCTAGTGAATTATATGTCAATTTTATAGATATATTTATATTCTCATCGCATGATGCAATTAAAAGCAGTTGTAATTTTTATGGATAAATGTGGTTTTAGTGGTATTGTTTAAATTGAATTATCAGTTTTAATGTTGCCACTGTATCTAATATTTAAGAGTTAATACTGAACATGTCACTTGTGAGACCTTTTTATTATATTTATTGCTCAAAATATTTAGTTTGTAAAATACTATGTATGCTAAAGTTTTTTTGTATAAATTATACATTCCCTGCTGTTTATATTATTCATTTCATTTGTTGTTTTAAGAATTTGGAAGTTAGTAAGGGACACTCTTCTGTGAATTTTTATTTCTTCCATATTAATAGATTAATGTTGAGATTAAGATTCATTAACGTATGTTACATATTGTAATGTAAAGAATGTATTGTTATTGTAGCAATAAAAAAGTCATCATGATGGAAATTTTCTTTCAGTAGCGATATGTGGCTGTTCTATCTTACAATAGCCGCCCATATACGTAAGGGATTTTTAAAAGATTTGTTCCGCTTTTGTCTTTACCTCTCATTAATATCTGTGCGGTCAGTGGCGGATACAGGAATTTATTTTAGGAAGGGCCCAAATAATAAGTTATGTAGAATATGCTTTTTAGGGCGCCATTTTTAACCCAAATAAACCAATTTATAGATTTTAGGGCGGGTCAAGGCCCCATGGCTCCCCCTCTGTCTCCACCACTGTGTGTGGTAGTCGTGGTAGTGGACTACCGCGGAGAAATGTCGGATATGGGGCAGTCCCGATTAATGTCAGTTGACCTGATGAAAGATAGTTATGTGCGTTTGTGGAATACCAAAATATCTGTACTCGGAACGACCGGGTGGGCGGATACCCAATGTCATATCTGGACTGCGGGCCCGATCGCTTAAAAATCCCTTGCGTGTATAGTGGGCTTTATATATACAGGTTGTTAATTTGTTCATTACTCGCGGCCAGAGCTTAATGGTTGAAATATGGCAACCTCGGCCCGCTCGTCGATAGACGACGCAAAGTCGGCAGAAAAATCAATAATGCATGCGTTCTCAATAGGCAATGTTGCCATTCTGTTCCCCTATAAGTAATTGTCGAGTTAACAACCTGTATAGAGAGTTCAACAAATTTGATGGTATCATTTTCATTTTATATCTTTACTTCAAAATTATAATTTTGATTTTACCTGGCATATCTATTAAACAACAATGAATGAAACACGTTTAGACAGGTCGAGTACTGAATCAAGTTCACCGTAGAACAGTACCCGTATAACCAAACAGTATAGAACCTCTATCGAGAGCCTATATTAAAATCTTTAGTCGATAAAGGCAGCCTTTATTCGTTTGGTACAGCGACGATATGTGTTTGAGTACAGTCTAGCCTGTACTGAATAAAGTTGGCCTGTATTGATACTTTACCGCCACTATACATTTTGGATTTAGATTGAATAAAGTTAATTTGTCGTTTCGTTATCGTGCCGATATACAAACTGACGGCGTCCTTTACAAAATATATGTATTAAAATCTATAGAAAGTTTTTCTTGTTACCTGAATTAGAAAAGTTATGTTTAAGTAAATTCTCAAACATATCCTTTGTAGTAATAATATTCCAAATATTAATATAAATATTCTAAAGGCATAAAATACTACAAACGATATGTTTAAGTATTTACTTAAACATAACTTTTCTAATTCAGGTAACACTGAGAAAAATTTTCTAGATATATTTTAATACATATTTTGTAAAGAACGCCTATCAGTTAGATGAATAACCTATAGGTTAGATGAGATTTATATTAGGGCTATTTAAGTAAAATTACTGAAAATTTGATTACTCTTTTATTATATTTTTACTTACAAATTCGTGTACACTACTGGTTTCATCAGTTTTAAAACTTTCATCAAGTCTCATCAAGAAGTTTCTTCTATTGTTTAGATATATTAGGTATGACCTGCCCTTCAATAACTCAACTTGTGGAAAACACACAGATTTCAAATTTTAGATTTTTCTTCCGTTATGTTAGAGTAGAATATTAAAGAAACACGGAGAAGCATATTTGTATCTGGCATATTAAAATGATTCTAACCCCATATCTCATAGATATATAAAATACATGAAGTTGTAAAGGATCAGCGTATATTTACTATGTATAACTATACAAATTTTTGTATAGAGTTAATAAAGGATAAGTAAAGTTTTCGTAACAGTGAATATTGTCATCGAAAAACTGTATAGAATCTGTATTTATGCGTTATCGATATTATATAGGATTATTTATGTGCGTTATCTTATTAAATATCAATCTTCAATTCCCTATAGAAAAAATATACAGGCAGTGCTTTATGGTTGCTATAAAGATTAAATACAGAACATGTGTGTAAAGGAAATATTTGAGTATTCTTTAAATCTGCTTTATCGAGACATCTTTATAGCAAAAAAACTAATCTATATAGGCTTGAATTTACTATATCGCGTGGTTATACGGGTAGTGGTAGTGTTATGGGGAGGCTAACGGGCGAACTACTATGCTGGCCACTGGACCACTCGACTTGCCCTGATCATTTCCTTGATCAGTTTTTTTTATATTAGTCGTGTTTTCGTGCTTTCTTAACTCGGGATTCTCCTTATTGGCCGTTTACTCGATTCATTACTAGGCTTAAACAGTGCAGATTTATACAAGCCAGTGGCGCGAGCAGCTCTTTTTATTCTAATTAAAAAAGATTAAGGATATGGTATTTTCGCTAGGAGGAAACGTTTCCAGAAAAAAATGTGTTAAAGCTATTAATACTTATGTCGTTTGTGTTGCTGTAGTAATGACATAAATTAGGATTGATTGATGTATTCAATTGTTTTCGGTCATTTCCTGTTAAACCGGAAATGACTACTTTGATTTTTAAATGGCACCCTCGGTATTTTTTTTTACTTTATTCGATAGAAAATAACACTCCGAATAGAATGACATATCATGTGTCAACTACCGATTTTCGCATATATGGTTTATTCAAATTATAACTTGCGCTTCGTAACGACAATTTGACTCGAATAAGTGTGTGGTATCAAATTATTCGTAAAAAAATTCTTTTTCCAAATATTTCCAAATGAGCCACGACCCTCGTTCCATTTGAAAAAATTGAGATATGATTAAAAATACGCTTTGAGCATTTTCTAACTCGCCAGGACATTAAAAACATTAGACGATCAAATCTATTTTTCCAAGGCTCCTTGATTAAGAATTGATGTCTTTAACACAACCATGGCACTCTAGATTACATTTTAAAATACGATTTTTTATTAAGCGACAATGTCAAAAGTTGACTTATAATGTCATTGTATTCAGAATGTAATTTTCTATTGAATAAAGTAAAACAGTGCCATGGTGCCATTTAAAAATCAAAAGTTGTAGTGGTTTGTAGTCATTTCCGATGAAATACGAAGTGACCAAAAACAACTGATTACGCGTCAATCAATCCTAATTTATGTCATATACTAACATACCAAATCTCGTTTTTTTATCTGGAAAAATAAAAAAGTTACAGGGGTGAGCCACTTTTCAGACGCACCCGGTAGGTATATACTTGATGTTTTGTTGTTTTTATAAGTGATTTAGTTAAAAAAAAGGTTCCCCTATATTTGCATTTATTTAAGACTCGCCCCTTCGATTTACGCGATGTTTTCAAAGAACGTAACGCGTATTTGAACGAACTAGGGATTTGTGTATGTATATCAACAATAAGTTGAGCTATATCAATATTGTCTTTATGACGAAACTTTTTTTGTCGATAGGTTTCGGAAACCCAATGACATGGAACACAAAAGGTACCTCACAGACAATGAAGAAACCGAACCTGGTTACCTTCAAGCCGCTCTCGAAGCGACAGGAGGGGACAAAGCGCGTCTCGCAAAGCACAATCGACGACGCTCAGCTTATTTTTTTAAAACAATCATCGCGCGACTTGCGCTCGCTATCTCCGACCTGTTGCACTGCAATGAGCAGCAGCACTTCCTCATAGTTATCACGTTGAACGGAAAATGACGGACGCGGTGTTCCTACCACCAACGACCAGTTTCAACATTTCCGACTTGGAGGTGCTCCAAGTGAGGGATGGAAGCGCCGAGGTGACTCGCATGGCCGACCCTGCCTACCAGGAGTTCTTGACCGACGTGTGGGTGGGCATCGTTCTCACCCTCATGGTGGTCAGTTGTGTGTGTTTCATGTGTTCGTGTTTGGTATATCACAAGATTCAGGAATGGAAAGACCGGGGTAAGTGGCACTAGGATTTTTTTTTATTTTTATGTCTTAGTACTTTATAATAATGTTTTTATTATAATTCAAATTATAGTTTTTAAGACTATTTGCAATATTTTACTGAAACATACATCATATACAGAGTCGCTGATATGTATGGAAACGGTCGATTATTGGGTAAAATATACGAGATACTGCAAAAAGTTAAATACAAAAGTTTGAGGGTTTTTATATGCCTTGGTCATAAAGACGTAGCATATCAAAGTTGATTTTTTTTAAATGGAACCCCTGTATATTATTAGATATTTTAATTCTTCCTTCAATACTAAGTAAAAATTGTAATACACATAATGTACCGAAATCCAACAGTTTCCGAGTTATCGATTTCTGAAAATCACTTAAACAGTTTCTAGGTATAGTTTTTCAAGTCTACGTATTATGTATTTGAAAAAAGAACAGTTATTAATGAAATTAAAAAAAAAATGGTTTACTCTATTATTCTATAAGGCGCTCAAAAGCGTTCTCCATAAACCTCTTAATAATGAATCGTCTGAACAAAAACTTAGTATTTAAACTTTGGTATTTAGTAGTGTATTTGCAAGAACATTTTGGGAAATATTATGAATTTGATGCGTGATCGTTCTTGCAACTCCTTGACATTTTGGGGCCTATTTTTGTAAAAAAATACGAATGCGGGTTAGGATGCAATTCGTTAAATAAATTCATTATTTCCATAAAGATTCGCGTTCTTTCACTATACCCTATAATCATAAAATTTCATTACCAGAATACCAGTGTTACCAGAATATACCGGGTGCGTCTCAAAAGTGGCTCACCACTATAACTTTTTTATTTTTTTTAGATAAAAAATCGATATTTTGTATGTTAGTAGTTTGAACCAAACCAAACCAAACCAAACCAAACATTAGGATTGATTGACGTATTCAATTGTTTTCGGTCACTTCCTGTTTCACCGGAAATGACTACAACTTTTGATTTTAAATAGCACCCTCGGTATATTCGATAGAAAATGACACTCTGAATAGAATGACATATCATATGTCAACTTTAAATTTGATATTTTCGAATATGGTTTATTTGAAATTGTATGACAATTTGACTCGAAATACACCAATTGTGTGGAATTAAATTATTCTTGAAAAATGCTTTTTCAGATATGCTAATGAGCCATCTTGGTTCCATTTGAAAATATTGAGATATGATTAAAAATACGATTTGGGCATTTTAACCAGCCAGGATGAGATCCGAAATACATTAGACGATCAAATCTATTTTTCAAAAGCACCTTGATTAAAAATTAGTGTTTTTAACACAGCCATGGCACACTAGATTGAAATTTAAAATACGATTTTAAGCGAAAATGTCAAAAGTTGACATATGTTATGTCATTCTATTCAGAGTGTTATTTTCTATTGAATAAAGTATAAATATAACGAGGGTGCCATTTAAAAATCAAAAGTTATAGTCATTTCCGGTGAAACAGGAAGTGATTAAAAACAAGTTCTCAAAGGGAATCAAAAAAGTCAAATGGGAGTTACAGTGCCAGATTCACTGTACTTGAAAACTTACAGTTTTATAACAGCTTTAGTTGAACCTATGATACTAAAATGTCTTATATATATAAAAATTATTAGTTCAATCAAATATCTCTCTAGCGAAAATCTTTAATTTTTGTCATTGATGACATGCATTGATTATTAAGAATCCAAATATCTTGAGAACGGTTGCTCGCAGTAATTTTTACCAAGAGATATTTTTTACGTAGAAACACGTAAGGCACAAATGTATATTTCTTCACTCAGTAGTGCAATACAGGGACGGACGAAAAGTTATTACTCTTTAAAACAGTTAAAAAATATGTAGGTGGGGCACTCTAAAAGTAGTATTCTTATTCTCATCGGAATCAAATTTCTCATATAAAAAAACCCAAGATAATAATCTTCACCAAATACCGAATTTAGTTCAAAAATTATTAGGAAAAAATCGAAATAAAAATGAAACTTCTACACCCTGTATCTCCGAAACGAAGAATTTTAGGACATAAGTCTATACGAACTTTTTTACTTATTTTTATGTGTATAATATGCTGCCTGTTTCCGGAATACAGTTCGGACCACCCTGTATAAAGAAATAATTTAATTAATTTTAATCTTAAATTTTTATCGCTTGATATAACTTGATATGTTTTGGTTTTTAATATGTAGGCATTTATAAAATTTCAGAGTTGGCCATTGTTTACGTTTTTTAATCTAGTTTAACCATAGTCAAATCAAGTTATTTAACCGTAAACAATGCATTATTTATTGATGTTAATGTTAATAGCCACTACACTGCGGTAAGTGAGGATTACATTAGCGAATGTAAATGTAATTGATTATTCTCTAGTTAGTGCATGATCCAATCGATGCGAATGATTTTCTTTTAAATTACATGATAAGAACCACTAACTCTTTAACTAGAAAAAAAGTTGTTTAAGGGTGTTAAAATTAGGATTTTTAAGGTACGTCCAGATTGTATACAAAACAGGGTTGCGGGTTTTCTAGTTATATCTAGTTTTAGTCTAACTGGAAGTACACACCTTTTTGAAAATGTATCAAATTGTTCCAAGCAATCATTACAAATTACAACTGTCTCAAATTTTTAGACTTTTCATAAACGTTCTTATTTCATGTTAATCGATTTTTTTTCTGGTAGGACACCTGGAATACCGTGCTGGCAACTGTTACTTTTGGGTCGGTATTTACATATGTGTGGAAGTAAATCACATAGGGATCTTATTAGGTCGGAGTGAGAGAAATGCGACGGTGTGCTGTTGGTATGCCTTTCCCTATCAAGTAAAGTAATATCACATCGCAAACCGCTTACTTTTAAAAACAATTTTTTTCGAAAAGATAACTAGATGAAATCATTAGATATATTTCTGAGCATCTGAAATGGAATTATAAGGATATCGTTAGCGTGTCCATTTTTTATAACGAGAAAACGTCAGTAATGAAAACTGAGTAAACTCAATTTTTTAACATATAACACGACATAACTTAAGAACCACTTTAAATATTGAAACTTTTTTTTTATTTTGTAGATGGGATCTTTTAAAATATGTTTAAATAAGAAAAATTCGATAAAGTTGTTTTTTTTCCATTCAAAAATTTTAAACAATCCATCCATTTACTCTTAGTGCATAGCAATTTTCAGCAATTGTGTAACTTTTTTATTTATAAAGATTTTCACATACTGTCTGCGAAGAAAATAAAGCAGAAATGTTAAGAAAGTTTTTGAAAAAACTACAATCAATTATTTCTAATAGATTTCGAGATATAGGTTTTTGAATTCAGAGTTCTAATAGCGCGACCACTGTCGAACACCAATAATTCAAGTCCACTTATTCTTAGCAAAAATGCAAATGTTTCTAACTTGCACTTAAACATTTTCAAGCTATAGGGAAAATTACAACGACTCGTTAATAAATAAACAAATAAAGTATTACGAGACATAATTAAATCGTGAAGACGCATGATGTACACCTTTTCCTAGAACTTTAAGTACTGACAGAGGTACTGATTGGGTGGACCGGTCGGCTGCGACAAATCTGCTATATCCCCTTCCACGTCTCTTAGCAATGTGTTCAGTTTTTGGTTTATTTCATACGTTTGGCAACGTGTTTACTGTTCTCTCTTTGTTCAGTACATTATAAACGCATTGTACTCTTCTTACATACGGAAATCTCGACCCAAGACTAATCTTTGCCAGCCCTTAGTATTATTTAAATTACACATACATACTTATTAGTTAAATTTGTCAAGAATTAAAATAAAATAAAATGAGGGAGAATAAGTACATAATAACACTAAGTAGTAATAATTGTGCCTTGGCTTGTTTGATGCGGATTGCCTCAAGGTAAAAATGATCGCGCTTATCAAACAATCGGATTAAAATACAATTTGTTTAGATTAAGTCGTGTAATTTGCCTTCCAGGAAGACAAGACATGTTTAATGAATGGTTTAATTTTATCCGAAGAAAATTTCCCTATTTGCTATCTTTCGGTAAATCACTTGATATCACTTTTTTGATATACACTCAGATGAAAAAAAAACGCAACGGAATTTTTTGGTTATATGTATACACACATAGCCAAAATTATTGCATATAGCGATAAAAATATCGTTTTATTTTGGACCTAATATGATTCTTTTTATATTTTTCGACATATTGGCTTACTACACGACTAACTAATATAAAATTAAAAATCTAAGTGCAACTAGGCTGTTATTATAATTTTATTTCATAACGAGTGAAAATCAACAAAAACAAATATCGTTTCAAACAGAAAATATTGAAAACAATTTTAATTATTTCTCATAACTAATAGTCTGTATTGCTTCCTCGAGCCTCAATGCAAGCTGTGAGATGCCGTAGCATGCTCTCAATTAAGTTGTCCAAAAAAGGAATGGCTTCCCATGTTTCGCGCGCAGCAATTTTCAATTCATTTAAGGTACGGGGGGGGTAATTTCTTTTGGCAATATGGCGTTTTAGCATGTCCCAAGCATGCTCGATCACATTCATATCTGGAGACATCGGTGGCCACCACAGTTTTCTTATACCCTATTCCTCACAAAATTCGCGAACCGCTAAAGTGCGATGGGAGGAGCATTATCGTCCATGTAAACAAATTCATCTCCCACTGCCCTTCGAAATGGACGCACAATAGGCTCTAAAACATCTCTAAGATATGAGGCACCTGTCATTGCGCCATCAATAAAAACAAGAGGAGTTCGAGCTCCGAGCATTATATCTGCCCATACCATAATGCTTCCCCCTTGAAACGGGACACGGGGTTGAGCTGCATTCAAGCGTGCTCGTCTTTCAAATGCTCTTCAGACCAAAGTTCGTCGCGAGTCTGACACTAGGCCTATATTCTTGTTTCATCAAGGCGAGGCCTCCTTAAATGTAATCCTCTGTCATGGAGTCTTCTTGCTATGGTCTTTTTTGCAAC